AAGGTCATACTTGTAATATATCTCCTCGTGATTTATAACAAACTCAAATGCATATATTGGGTTTGGCTTCAAAATAGGCATGCCACTAAAACTTATACCATTCCAGGGTCCAGAACGGAACTCCACAACCTTGCCTTTCCTCAAAAATATTTGTGGATACCCATTGGGATCAAGCTGCTCCACATAGTCGCCATGGGAAGGATCATCACTACTCTTCCAGGATGACATGTACTTATCCAGACCAGTTACCAAGTCCTTTCCAAACTTCATGCCTGGTAAAAATGTGTCACCAGGATAATCAAAACTCTGCCACAGGAAACGTTCTGGGTCAATACTATCACTTCCATCTCTCATGACAAGATTCCTTGTATCCAAAACCTCTACAATTGGATTCTTTGTGTATCTTGATGAGTTGGATGACCAAATTATGCTATTGTTAGAATCGAGTAGTACTAGAAATCCCTGTACATTGATTCTTTTTTTTTTTTTTTTGATAAGTAAAAATTTATAAAAACGCTCAAAAGAGGAGCGGATCCCAAAGAAACACAAAGGCCAAAAAAAGCCTCAAGCCTTCAAAGAGGCCAAAAAAGAAACAATCTCCTCTAAAGATCTATAATCTCTCTCTGAAACCCAACAAAAAAGAGTGGAAATAGTAGAGAACTTAAGCAAAGAGACAGGCTTCTCCTTTGCATCAAAATATCTCCGATTTCTCTCCAGCCAAATACAAAGTGGACTAGCCCTCCAGGCATCTCGAATGAGAGGCCCAACTGAGAAGCCTCTCCAAGCCTCAATCAACCCACTAGTGGAACAAGGCATAACTCAGGGAACTCCAAACAAACCAAACATCAAAACCCAGCAGTCTCTAGCCATACTACAGTGCAACAGAAGATGATCAACTGTCTTCTCATCACGCAAGCACAAGTAACAACGGTTAACCACCACCTGATTCCTCCTCCTCAAATTATCCTGGGTTAAAATCTTTTCCAAAACAGAAGTCCAAGCAAAGAAAGCCACTTTGAGGGGGACCTTAGAACGCCAAATAGACTTCCAAGGGAAGGGATCCCCAGCATCAACTGTAAGACACCTGAAAAAAGATCTAACCTCGAACCGACCCTGAGAGTTAGGAACCCAAAGCCAACCATCCCATCTATGATCACCTAGCTATACAAAACCTCCAACAAACGAGAAACGTCCTCAATCTCCCAATCCTGAAAATGCCTCCTAAACTGAACATCCCAAGTCAGTCTTCCGTTATCAAGATGATAACAGTCAAACACCATGGTCTGTCTATGAGAAGCAATCTTGAAGAGCTGAGGGAAAGAGAGAGCAAGAGAAAGCTCCCCACACCAAACATCCTCCCAAAATCGAATCCTCCAACCATCCCTGATCCGAAAGCAAACATGATTGCAAAAATCCTCCCACCCCTTCCGAATGAAGGTCCAAACCCCCACCCCCCTAGGACCACGCACCTCAAGAGAACTCCACCCTCCGTTGCTCTCCCCAAATTTGCAAGTGATAACTCTCCTCCAAAGCCAATGCCTCTCAAACCCAAACCTCCAAAGCCATTTCTCGAGGAAAGTCTTATTGAAAGGCAATAACCTCCTAAGCCCTAAACCTCCACATCGAATCGGACGGCGCACCTGCTCCCAACGAACCAGATGGTACTTGAACTCCTCTCCTCTCCCCCCCAAAGAATATTGCGCTGCAACCTCTCAAATCTCTCAGTCATAGAAGAAGGAATCTGAAAGAGAGATGAAATAAGTGGGGAGGCTAGAAAGGGTGCTCTTGATCAGAGTGGCCCTCCCTCCCTTAGAGAGATACTGCTTCTTCCAACCCACTAGTCTCCTCTCAAATCTATCCACAATCGAGTCCCAACACCCCACACATCTCGAAGGGGCTCCCAGAGGCAACCCTAAGTAAGAAATGGGGAAAGAGCCAATGCGACAACCAAGAATCTGAGCAAACATCTCGATCTCAGGAACCTCCCCAACTGGAACCAGAATGCTCTTTCCAACATTCACCTTAAGCCCGGAAACAACTTGGAACCAAATCAAAACACATCTCAAATACCTCAGTTGGGACGTATCAGCATCACAAAGAACTAAAGTATCATCCGCAAACATCAAGTGGGAAATTTCTAACTGACTAGCAACATCTCTGCAGCTCTGCCCACCCAAAAACCTCTCAAAAACCCCAACTCAACAGCCCTCTTCAACAATCTACTAAGAGCCTCCATCACAAAAAGGAACGGGAAAGGAGAAAGTGGATCCCTTTGTCTCAATCCCCTCGAACTAGTGAAAAACCCCGACGGAGCACCATTCACAAGGACAGAGAAACGAGCGCTAGAGATACAAAAATGGATCCATCTCCTCCATCGCTCACCAAACCCCATCCTCTCCAATAAGTAGAGTAGGAAGTTCCAATTGACATGATCGTACGCCTTCTCAATATCCAGCTTACACAAAACACCCGGAACCCCACTGCTCAATCTGGAGTCCACACATTCGCTAGCAATAAGAACTGAATCCAAAATCTAACGACCTCCCACAAAGGCACTCTGAGAATCAAAAATTACACCATCCAGAACCTTTTTCAACCTGGAAGCCAAGACTTTTGCAATCAACTTGTAAAAGCATCCCACCAAGCTAATAGGGCGAAAATCCCTAACATCCAGCGCCCCTCTCTTTTTCGGAATGAGAGCAATAAAAGTGGCATTCAAACTTTTCTCAAAAGAGCCCCGGGTATGAAAGGCGTGGAAAGAACCCATCACCTCCTCTCAAACCACCTCCCAGCACTCCAAGAGGAATCTCATTGAAAAACCATCAGAACCTAGGGCTTTATCCCCATTACAGCTCTTCAAAGCGGTCAAAACTTCCTCCTCAGAAAATGGCTCCTCCAAAACAGAGCACTCCTCACTCGAAATAGAATTAAAATGAAGCCCTGCAAGAAAAGGTCGCCAACCAGAAGGTCCAATGAACAACTTCGAGAAATACTTAGCAAAACCTTTACAAATCTCCTCCTCTTTACAAAACACCTCCCCATCCACCCGAATCCTCCCAATGTGATTACCCCTTCTATAAGCATTGGCAAGTTTATGAAAAAACTTCGTGTTATTGTCACCTCCCTTGAGCCACAACGCTCTAGACTTTTGCCTCCACGAAATCTCCTCTGTGATAGCAATCTCAACAAACTCCGCCTGACACTTCACCCTCCTAAGCTTTAAGGAATCCGCCAAAATACCTTGACCCTCCATCCTTTCAATATCAGCAATCTCAGAAAAAACCCGGTTCTTCCTCCAAACCAGATTTCCAAAAACCTCTTTGTTCCAGACTTTAAGATTAATCTTCAAAATACGCAACTTACCTGCAAGAGAATGACTAGGGGTGCCAACCACACCATATCCCAACCACCATGAACGGACTCGCTCCAGAAAACTGTCTGCCCGAAGCCACATATTCTCAAATTTGAAAGGGGTTCGTCTACTACACAAGCCACGACAATCCAACTGCAATGGAACATGGTCAGAAAAAGGGCGAGCCAAAGTGGCCTGAACCACATCAGAGAACTTCTCCTCCCAATCACTCGACACTAGGAATCTGTCAAGTCGAGAGAGGGTAGGAGGAGAGCGACCACTAGACCAAGCAAAAGGCTCACCCACCAAAGGCAAATCAAACAAACAAAAAGCATCAATGAACTCTGAGAAGGCCTCCATGTCGACCGTCTACCTCCCGTCAACCTTTGAAAAGGAGAACGAACAACATTGAAGTCCCCACCAAAGCACCAAGGAAGCGACCATCTCCTTTGAACTAGGAAGCACGGACACTCCGAAATAGGCAAAGAATCCGTGTCGGACACGAACACGCGTCGGACACGGCCCGACACGTGTCGGACACGGCAAAAAGCGTGTCTGGAATTTTTTATTTTTTAAAAATTTTCGGACACGGATTGGACACGGCACGGATACGGCACGGACACGCGTCCGACACGCCAGGGTGTGTGTCCGACACGCGTGTCTTATTTTTGGGGGTTTAAAAGATAATTTTTAAAAGAAAGTTGGGTTAAAGTACAAATATATAAAGTTATTTACTTACTTATGTGGTCAGAACATAATAATTTTAAACTTTCAAGGTTAATATGTAATTTTAAACAAAAGAGATAGATATTTAAGGCAGTCATTACACTATTACAAGATCAGATTCAAAGGACGGGGGTTGTGCTCTCTCAAACTGACGACGAAGCTCTGCAACTTCCTGCTGCAGATCAAAGCGACTCCTTCCAGCCTCCAGGTCAGTCTCTCTCTCTCTTTCTCTCTCTCTCTCCTCTCTTTTCTTCCTCCTCCTTCCTCTTTTCTTTCTTTTTCTTCACAAACCCTAGTTTCTTTCTTTCTTCTTCATTTTTTTTTTCTTTTTCCTTTTTCACAAACCCAGATTCTTTCTTTCTTCTTTATCTATTTTTTTTTTGTTTTTTTTTCGTTTTCCTTTTTCAAAACCCCAGTTTCTTTCTTTTTCTTTTCTCTCTCCTTTGTTTTTTTTTTCCCCCGTTTTTCACTAACCCCAGTTTCTTTCTTCTTCATCTATTTTTTATTTTTTGTTTTTTGTTTTCCTTTTTCAAAACCCCAAATTCTTTCTTTTTCTTTTCTCTCTCTTCCCCCCCCCCCCCCCCTCCCCTCCACTAACCCCAGTTCACAAACCCGTCTTCTTCTTTTCTGGTATTTTTCCTTTTTTACAGACCTTAATTTCTTTCCTAATTTCTTTCTTCTGCTTCTTCTTCTTCTTCTCTGTTGTCTTTATTCTTGCTTTAAATTTTAGCTTGTGTGAGTCGTGACTTATTGACCTGTAAATGAATTGGATTTCATCTTTGATTTAATTTCAGCTATTGCATATGACTTATGAATCTGTAGCAAATAGGAATTTATTTTTTCTTTGCTGACTGTTCTTTCTTTGCTGACTGCTGTAAGTATGGATTTTTTTTCTTTTCTTTTTATGTCTAGGGAATTAGACATGTCATTGTCTACATCAGTTGCTAGTTGTACTCCTCAATTCGAACAAGATGATAACAAACCACTTTGGAACTATGTCACACAATTAGAAAAAATTGGTGGTGGAGGAGGAAATTTTTTATTCAAATGCCACTTTTGTAATAACGAATTCAAGGGGTCTTATACAAGAGTTAAAGCCCACTTGTTGCAGAACACTGGTATGGGTATTCGTATATGTCCAAAAGTCACATATCAGAATATTGCAGAAATGCAAAAAGCAATTGAAGAAGCCGAATTGAGAATTAAAAATTCTAAACCAAAAAAAGTTCCTTTGCCGCCGTCTAGTGCATCATTGGGTGGTACTACTAGTCTCACTCAGGAGGCTTATGTACCAAAGAAAAGAAAGGCAAGTGGGGGTGCCATTGGGAAGGCATTTAATAATGAGGCTCGGGAACAATTGCACTCAGAGATTGCTAGGATGTTTTATTCCGCAGGATTGCCGTTTCATCTAGCAAGAAACCCGTATTATGTGAGTTCATACAACTATGCTGCAAATAATCCTCTGTCAGGTTATTTGCCTCCGGGTTATAATCTATTGAGAACCACTCTACTTCAAAAAGAAAAGGCAAATATTGATAGATTATTGCAACCAATTAGGAGTACATGGAAGGCAAAGGGTGTTAGCATTGCAAGTGATGGTTGGAGTGATCCACAAAGGCGGCCTTTAATTAATTTTATGGCTATGACAGAAGGAGGTCCCATGTTTTTGAAAGCTGTTGATTGTTCCGGTGGAATTAAAGACAAGTTTTTCATTTCCAATTTGTTGAAGGAAGTCATAAATGAGGTTGGCCCCCAAAATGTGATCCAAGTAATTACAGACAATGCCCCAAATTGCAAGGCTGCTGGACAACTAATTGAAGGGCAATTCCCTCACATTGTTTGGATACCTTGTGTGGTCCATACTCTTAATCTTGCCCTCAAAAATATTTGTGCTGCAAAAAATGTGGAAAAGAATGAAATTGCATATGCAGAGTGTGGTTGGATTCTTGATTATGCTGATGAGGTTACAATAATAAAGAATTTCATCATGAACCATTCAATGAGATTAGCTATTTTCAATGAGTTTGTCAGCTTGAAGTTGCTTTCAGTTGCAGAGACACGCTTTGCTTCTGTTATTGTGATGATGAAAAGATTTAAACTTATAAAAGGTGGTCTCCAAGCAATGGTCATAAGTGACAAGTGGACTTGCTATAAGGAGGATGATGTAGGAAAGGCCGATTATGTGAGAGAGAAGCTGTTGGATGAACAATGGTGGGGAAAGATTGATTATATCCTTTCCTTTACTTCACCTATTTATGACATGCTAAGGGCTTGTGATACCGATAAGCCTTGTCTTCACTTAGTTTATGATATGTGGGATACAATGATTGAAAAAGTGAAGATGGCAATATATAGGTATGAAAGAAAGCGACAAAGTGAAAGTTCTTCCTTTTATGAAGTGGTGCATGGGATACTTGTAGCTCGTTGGAACAAGAACAATACTCCGCTTCATTGCTTGGCACATTCACTAAATCCAAGGTAAATCATTAGATATTAATTTGTAAGCTAAAGAAGTTTTAATCTTAGTTTAGAATTAAGGAAATTAAATTATGAATTAAATGCATTCTCTTATTTATTGTAGGTACTATAGTGATGTGTGGCTTAGTGAAGACCAAAGTCGAGTTCCACCACACAAGGATTTAGAGGTCTCAAGAGAGAGAACAAGGTGCCTTAAAAAATACTTTAGTGACCCACAAGAGCGTTCAAAAGTCCAATTGGAGTATGCTAATTTTTCATCAAACTCGGGGGAATTTGGGGAGAGTGATTCTATATGTGATAGATATACCATGGATCCTAAAAGTTGGTGGGTTGTACATGGTTCATATGGTCCCTTGCTTCAAGAGTTAGCTTTGAAGTTGCTAGTCCAGCCTTCTTCCTCCTCATGTTGTGAGAGGAACTGGAGTACTTATTCTTTTATTCACTCATTGAGAAGGAACAAGATGGCGCCACAACGGGCTGAAGATTTGGTTTTCATTCATAGTAATCTCCGTCTTCTGTCAAGGAGAACCCCACAGTACAATGAAGGACGAACTAAGATGTGGGATATTGCAGGAGATGCATTTGATTCATTTGGTGATGTTGGGGTGCTTGAGGTTGCAAACCTCTCACTTGATGAGCCAGAATTAGAGGCGGTATTATTTACCGATGATGGAAGTGTTAATGATGATGAGATTCATGAGACAATTGATGATGAACAACAATAGATGAATGCTGATATGTTCTTTTTTTTTTTGTTTTGGACTACCCTTTTGGTATTGTAAATGGTAAAGTACTAGGTCAAATGATGGATGGGAATAGATGATAGTACACTGACTTGTTTTTGTATCTTTTTTGGGACTAGCCTTTAGGTTTTTGTGAATGTTAAGTGCTAACAGTACAGTCCTGAATGTTAAACAATCATGAATGTTAATAGTCCTTTCAGTCTATGCTTTTGTATTTGGAGTAAAGTTGCAATGATGATTAAATGATACTAGTTATTATTCTAATATCTTGTTTTTTATTTGGTTTTATAACTCTGCAACATTGTTCTTTTATAGTTTATTAGTTATAAGTTATGATTTGTATATATTTTCCATTGTGAGGTTGATGAAAAATAGTAACACTCGGTAATTTTTAAAGTACTACATCATATATATATATATACACTATTCGCCGTGTCCGTGTCCTAATTTTTTTGGATTTGCCGTGTCGCCGTGTCCGTGTCGTGTCGTATCCGTGTCCCGTATCCGTGTCCGTGCTTCTTAGCCTTTGAACCTCCCCCAGTTCCTTCCAAAGCAAATGACGCTCACAATCCTCTGTAAGACCATAAACACTAGAAAAAACCCAACGAAAACCATCCTCCAACAAAGAGAGAACACATGAAACGGAGAAAAGCCCAACCTGAGAGTCCATTAAAAAGACCCACCGGTTATCCCACATAATAAGGATACCGCCCGAAGAACTAATCGCATCCAAAGCAATCCACTCCACAAATCTCCCTCATCACAAGCTTCGCACAAACAAGTCCGTCATTGAAGCAATTTTGGTTTTTTGAAGACACACAACATGCCCACCCCATTTACGAATCACCGACTTCACAACCTTCCTTCTAACCGGGTCATTGAGACCCCGAACATTCCATGAAAGAATTCGTAGCTTCATAGGGAAACTTTTGAGTTGACTGCCTCTCCCCTCCCTCCCCTACCCTTCTCCCTCAACCCCCTACTCCTCTTCTCATAAGTGACAAGAGTCGAGGGGCTTGGAACACCCCTCAACAATCCCCACCGGAAGACTTCCCCCACTCCCCCTACTATCAACAATCTGAGAATTAAGAACATCCAGAAACGGATTTGTCGCCTCCTCCAACCTACCCTCGAAAGAAACTCCCAAAAGGGAACCAATCTCAATTCCTTTTTCCGTCACCCACTCCTCCTCCAAAACAGCCCCACCCGCCTCACAGCCAGCCCCCACCTCAAACTCTCCAATCGGTCTAACAATAGCCAAAGGGGCAACAAAATCATAATCAGTCTCATCATCATTCCACTGACTCATCCCCAAATCCCCATAAAGCGAAGAACACGACCCATCCTCCCCCTCCTTAAGAAACAAAGAAGGAGAGCAGCAGGCCAGTGGAGTCCTGAACACTTCTTCAAACAAAGGACCGCCAGGCTCATTATGGATGCCTTTCAAGGCTAGATGAGCCCGCAACTCATTAAGAAACACAGTAGCAGAAACATTGTCAAGACAAATCTGAACATCTCTCCCTACACAAACAGTGACACAGTCACCCTTTCGAACCACAGACTTCGGATGACTCCTCCCATCAACCTGATTACACCCAAGCAATCCTTCCAATCGACACTCCAAGCCATCCTCAAAAACCGAGGAAAGGTTCCTGGAGACGGAAGAAACAGACCCCTTCATCTTCTCTAAGGACTTCCTCAACACTCCTGAAGAAGGAGAAAGGGGAGCAGAAGAGGGAACAAACTGTGAGAAGTTTTGCAGTGGATCAGACTTACCCGGATCACAATCAGCAGTGGGAACCCACTTTTGTTTCTCCTTCCGAGTCCACCTTCGTTGGAATGTAGGGAGAGAAAGCCTCTTAGCTTTCAAACGATGCCCTTGCGGTAGCTTCTTGACACGCCGTCGACCTTTGAGAAGAGGTGAAACCGGCTGTTGCAATGATGGGCCAACAAAAGAAGAGAGAGGTCCAAATCGATTGGCCATCTCAGGTCTAGAACATGATAACTTAGGCCCAACCGGCTCAGAAAATAGCCCAACCAAAATCTCACGACCCAACCCAGTAGAAGGACCAACCGAGCAATCAGCTTCTTTAAAATGGGCCGCCTTAACACGTCCACTACCACACAACAATGATTCAGGCATATTGCAAACAGTAGGCCCAGAAACCAGCCCACAAGGAAAATAATTGTGGTCCTTCACAGCCTTCGCCCCATTCGCTGGCCCAACAGAAAGCCCATCAGCACTTGAGCCCATCTTAACATTACACGCCCACTATTTTGAATTCAACTTGGATACAGCTGTATCCCAATTTGAACGGATATCACACCTGTGCCAACCACGTGTTGGTTTGCCTTGTCTCTCCCTCTCACGCATTGAAAGCGCATGAAACCCACCTCGTTGAAAGTTCCTGCTCCATCTTTGTATCAACGCCTGACGGCCAAGACCTCCACCCCTCTAAAAATTCCGATCACCATCCGACGAACGAGAAGAGCTTTCCTTCCTTCGTTGAGTGAAAAAAACGTCTGAAGAATACTATGTTTCGATCCCAAAGCTTATCCCTCCATTCCTTCCATCACTGAAACTCATCCATCCCCTTATCACCCATGGAAACCCATCTCAACCACTCTGCCTCCTTCAGTAGGTGAGAGCCATCACCCCCTTCAAGACTGTCTGTTGTCGGAACAAGTTGAGGAGGCAATTCCTCCCAAATAGCCACCTTAAAGCAAAGACGATCATCACGAACAAAAATGAACGGCGAGCAAACACTGCCACCGTGAGACGAACTTTTTCAGCGTCAAGGAACTCATCGACATCCACCCAAATGAAACCTCCACACAAATCACCCACCGTCACAAAGAGAGCATGGCTCCAAAGGTGAAGAGTGAGGCCAAACAACGTCACTCTCTTCAGCCCTTGCTCTTTCAACACCTCGGAACACCCCGCCCTAAAACACCATGGATCCACACGAAGGGTGGCCTTCCCCCAGTCAAGTCGCCCCTCCTTAAGCACTCTTTCTGCCTCCACCGAAGAAGGGAACCGAAAAAGGAGCAAAGAGTCCGGCAGAGGCGACACAACCACAGCCGGCAAAACCTTCCAAGCTCGTGAGGCCCAAGCTGCAATCTGGGCTCGATCACCCACTTCTTTGTCAAATTTCCCCACCAAACAAGACTTTAAATCATCTCTTCTCTTACCAACCGAGTCATCATCCAAGAAAATAGAACAACCTCTGTATGTAGATGTTGTTCTTGCAGAACCACCTTGAAACAGACGAGGTAGTCCCTTCAAAGCACCTGAGGTATCGGTGAGTGGGATATCTCTATTGGCAACCCATACTACTGTCCCAGTTGATATACTCTTGTACCATATTCCCAAATATCGATTCTTGGAAGCAACGGGGCTAAAAAAATCCCAGTTCAAAGTTCCCAGCAGCTGAAACAATGGTGTCACCTTCTCTAATTGTTTGATTTGCAATTATTTTGTCTACTGCAGCTGAGGTTATTTGCAGAATAGAGAATAAAACGGAGCAAAACAATAATGTGGTGAAGCCATCCATTGATCATTGATGTACTCATGTCTCCATGGTGTATGTATAGTTATGATTCTCACAGAGGGTTGTTCTTGCTCAAATCTGCTCCACCATCACTGCAATTCTAAGGCTGGGCTTTCTTCAAGACTGCCCTACAGCTAGGAAAATTTTTTCAGAATGGAATCTATCCCCCTCTTGCTGCAGACCCCCTCCTCGTCCGCCGGATACTACCAATCGCCGGCTCAATGCCGGAGCCTAAGTTCATCGGACTGAATGACTGATAACCACCATTAACAGCAACCAAGGCAGTTAATTTTGGTTTTCAGTTATTGTGTAAGGTTAGGTGTTATTATTTGGGCCTGGTCCCTCTTGTTTTGCCTTAACTGGGCTTGTAATCCCTTGCGGGCTGTTTGGCCAAAGGCCCACATTGTAATTACTTTTACATTTATAATATTTGCTTAAAATTCCAAAAAAAAAAAAAAAAAGTATAGTTATGATTCGAAAGTCTTGACTTGACCAATGGGATGCATAGACATTTGAGAGAATATAGGCCTCACTTTTATGCAGAGTAATCTTTTTTCTTTCTTTTTGATACTTTGTAGATCTACAATATGAACTGGGAGACACATGTTTTAGCTTTCAAGTGGTGGGCCTAAGGTTCTGGAATATTGCATGAATGACAAACATTCAATCATTTTCTTTTGAATAATCAAACCACCTATGAATGGTGTAGTTACTTTCATTTGTTCGTGGCCTTTGATTTGCATACATGTAGAACAAAACATCAAAGAGCCAATCTAGATTTAGGCAATGAATTGAGGATCATTTCACATATAACACAATGATGAAGCCATTGAGAGAACAACAATCACCCACGTTTAATTTCAAATCGCAAAACCAGGGCAACTCTTTTGATTTAGCACTAAAACTTCCATATGATTTTCTGCTTATAATTTCAGATTTAATTTGCTTTGCTTATTGAAATTGCATGCAAAGACTTGAAAAAATGGGGTCAATACTCAATACAGACACTAATGATAGTTAGCAAGAAATGGCAACGTAAACCGAAGCATGAAACATGGGTTCAAAATATCATTAGAAACCAATTGGTGATATAAGATCAATTTATTGGTGATATAAGATCAATTTTGGAACCTGACTGAGATATTTGATTAAATCAATAGAAAATCAAGGGATAAACAACACCCCATCCATAAATTCCATCAAGGCTAGAGATTCAAAACTAGGAGACATCATCCAAAGTTGATAACACACGGGCCTTTTCTTTTTCCCTGAGTCATAGGAAATTGAACAGTACAAGTCGTTTGATGTGAGTGGGGGGCATAAACCAGAAAAAGAACAATTACAGAAATTTTCACATTTCAAAATGTACAAAATTACTAAAAAACTTGTAAACCTCACCACTGATGTCATTGAACAAGTCCGATGGCGGAATTCTAAATGTACTCCACACATTTCACAAAGATTTCACAAAGGACAAAACTTGCCTCCTGCCTTGTCTAGAGGAACTTCCCCTGATAGTGAAAGTTGAGGTGTCCCAAAATGATCAGAACCCTAAAAGATGGGTTACCCGGTAGAACCCTAACCCATAATTTCTCCAACTGTTTCACCTAGCAACATCGCCGGCAGTGGCATTGGCCGCCAATCCCCTGCATCAAATTATCATGTTGTTAGACCATCCAAAAGACCTATCCAACACTGTTTGAGGGCATTATTGATACATAATATATATATAGAGAGAGAGACCTGTATTTTTTGGCAGCTTTCCTGGTGAAGATTTCAGGGGTTAGCATTTTTTATAGGCTGAAACGAATCAGAAACACGATTTCTCTCTCTCAATAAGAAAATGAACAATCCCAAGGAGACGAAGCAAAGCCCCTCCTCTTCTTCTCCAATGGCGTCACTCTCCTCTCTCTTCCTCTCCAATCCTTGTTCCCCCAGCCCCAAAACCCTAACCCTAAACCTACTTTTCGTCTTTTTTTTTGAGAAACCCAATCTCACCACCGAACCACCGCCCCCTTCAGAGGAGAAGTCTATCGCAGTGGCCACCGGCGAGCTCTTCCTCTGCATCGCGTCGCAAATCATCATGACAGTAAAGGCCTAACGGTGGAGCCGGAGGTGGTTTGGTGGAGAGGTCAAGAGATGGCATATGGCTTTTCCCGATTAATCCGTTAAACCTGGTTAAAATTTTTTTTTTTGTTTTTTTCATCTTTTTATTTTAAACTTTAGAAGCTAAAGTCACGTGAAGGGAAAACAGGAGCAACATCGAGGGGAGCATGGGTGAAAGAGGCAAAATTAAATTAGAAATAGTGAGAATTTGACTAGAGTGCGAAGTCTCGTTCATAGCGTGAAAGTAATATCTGTTGAAAAAGATTACGTGACTTCATTTAAAATAGTTTTTTTTTTTTTTTTTCTTTAGGTGACCTAAGAAGCTTCTTTAATGGAGAAGATATTAGTGAGTTGGGCATACAATGCCATTAGTAGGTCCAATGTATAAAAATTCACCCTATAAAAATATTGCTAGCACAAATAAAAATTCACCCTACAAAAAAAAAATTCACCCTATAAAAAAATTTGTTGATACAAATTAATTTGTTAAATTTTTATTATGTCTTGTTATTCACTGCAATAGTCACATCAAATGAGTTTCGATTGGGCACTTTACTAGGTAGTTTTTCTACTTTTGCAATGAATAAATTTTTCTTCCACACCTCACTTTGGAGCTTTAATTTTTCACTTCTTCCTTTAATAAGGGAGAAGTTACACCACCGTACGAGAGAAAAAAGATACAAGTTGAATTCGAGAACAAGGTTGAATTCGAGAAAAAATTGTAGGGTGTCGACATAAAAGAAATTGGACGTGTCCATTTGGGTCTAAATTGATTATTGTTTTTCTAATGTTTGATTTGTTCGATTTATCAATGGGGTATTAGGCACCAAAATTTGTGGATATTTTGTGGCATTGACACCTTAAGCTTCTAACTTGTCAAGTAACTACATGTTAATGTGAAGGATGATCCATTGATACAGCTTTACAGTGCCTTACTATTTGACAATTAGGAACCTCCCCTGAGAATTCCAACATTATAATACACTCTCTTAATTCTAAATTAATCAATCACCTAGATATAAAGTATTTTTTCTGAAGAATTTGCATGGTTTGACAAGATCTTAGCCAGAGTTAAGTGGCAATAACCTACCAGAAAAGAAAATGTTCAGTTGCGACCATACCAATATTCAAATCGTCCACCAAGTAGGTAAATTATGCATAATAAACCCACACTCCAAATCTGTATAATATTTATATAAAGCATAGTAGCAGTATAATAGAAATGCTCTTACAGAAATAGAAATATTTTATAAATTTTCTGATGTAATATCCCAATTCAACCAAGATAAAATGGCCTTATGGATCAAAAATGTTTTGAATTTCACAAATTAAAGAACATACAAAACACAAAAACATTGTGTTTTTTTTATCGAGCCTCTAATACTGTCATGGTGATTTCATTGACTGAACTTGTTGTCTGTGTCTGCCTGCTTGACGAATAATAATCCATTTCAGGAAAAGTTCTTTCGGTGTAAAAACCAGGCTGTTTAGGCTGAAGTAATGCACCCTCACTTCCCAGCATCAGAACCACAGATGACATGTTTGGCCTATCTTCTGGAGATTGTTGCACACATAATAGAGCAACATGGATCGATCGTAGAACTTGGGACAAACTGCATGAGTCTTCTCCTAGAGGTGCATCTATCAGTTCCAAGGACCTGCCTTCCTTAAAAAGTCTCCATGACTAGAAGTAATTCACACATCATTAGTAGAGTGTTAGTTTTAACATACAGATATAAGATAAGATTCTAAACAGGAGGACTTACATGGCCAAGAAGGTTAAGGTGGTGTTCAGGATGAAAAAAACCTCTGTTCCTCTTTCCGCTCACTATCTCCAGTACCAAAACTCCAAAGCTAAATATATCTGATTTTACAGAGAAAATTCCATCTACTGCATACTCCGGGGACATGTAGCCACTGCAGGAAATAGTGAACTAAGAAACAGATGTAGCAACAATAGGGATGGATTGTATATAAAACATGTTTTAAGATTCATACTGTGTTCCAACCACTCTTTTTGTAGTTGCTCCAGTCTCATTTTCTCCAAAACTTCTCGCTACACCGAAGTCTGATATTTTAGGGATCATGTTAACATCTAGCAAAATATTGCTAGCTTTGAGATCTCTATGGATGATTCTCAGTCGGGAATCTTGATGAAGATAAAGAAGTCCCCGAGCAACCCCATTGATAATGTCAAAGCGCTTAGGCCAATCCAGTAATTTGCCTTGGGTTTGATCTGTCAAAACTTTTCATATTAGTCTATATTGCTGCTAATTAAATGCTTGTATAACTAGAAAATGGTTCCAAAATGTCAAATCACATATTCTTTAAGAGAGCAAGTTCACGTAACCGCACATGTAACAAGGAACCAGAAAACTTTGGTGCATTTCTCTGCATACATGTACTGCCACTTGACCTTGGTTGGAACAATTTATAGCAAAACCATGTCAAAAACCAATGCTGTATGAAGTATAATTAACATGGTAAAGAGCCAAACCAAATATAAATAAATCCAAGCTTTTGTTAGGCATGTATTCATAGATCAACATCTTTTCTTCTCCTTGAAAGCAGCATCCTAGAAGCTTCACAAGATTTCGATGCTGGAGCTTTTCTATACAGATAACTTCATTCTTGAACTCATCAATTCCTTGTGTGGAATATTTTGACAACCGCTTCACTGCTATTTCCTTTCCCTCTTCCAGAATACCCTGAAACATTTACATTCGTTATAAGTAGAATATTATTTTAGACAAAATACATGTTTATATTGCTTCCTTTTGCTTTTTATCTTTTATTTACTGCCTTGTGTTGCTCTGTGTTGACATTATTTTGACTGGATTGATTACTTATTCACAACCAATATATATATACCCAAAAGAGTTTGCTTCACTCTACTAAAAATTGCTTCAATAAATCTTATATCCTTTAATTCTTTACACAAAAAGGACCTACTACAAATCAAAGTGATTCTGATTAGCAAAATCAAAATTTTCCTCTTTTTGTTTTCCCCAAAAGAAGAAGAAGAAAGAAACAGATTTTGAATGGCTAGGAAAATTTAATAATAATTAAAAGGTTGAAACTTGTCTAATGGTATATGACTCATCACCAAACATTCTGATCTTTCTATTAATAATGACATTGCACAATTTCAAGAAATTGAGAACTAAAACACAAAATTTACAAATATATATACATGAAGACATAGATGTGTTGCATCAAGAGTTTCTTCTTCAAAAGGGTCATATGTTCTGCAAAAACAGAACAAGCATTTTGCCCCATTGCTAACTAGCCATTTGTCAGGTACATATATATGCAAAAAGCCAAGCCAGTTTTATTTTGTGTGTGTGTGTGTGTGAGTGGGTGTGTTGGAGGGGGGATTGCACAAATCTACAACTTCTTAGGAACCAAAAGTGAACATTTGTTCACTCTACCAAATTAGCTGATGTTGGTTTCAATCATTTTTATTCAGAAAAGTTCACCATCTTTTAATATCCTCTTTTTGAAAGCTTGCTAATTGTAATTTTAAATTCAGAATTTTTTTTTTACTGCATTGAGAGGAAAAAAGAAAAAACCTTTAGGATATGTAATAATAGAGATAACAATGATATTAGTGCAGTTGCCTACTATCAGTATCAATTGAGCATCAGCTATATAGGTCTTAAAAATTCATGCAAGTGTATCCCTATTATTACCTTGTAAACGGGTCCAAATCCACCCTCTCCAAGCTTATTGTTGATTGAGAAGTTATTGGTCGCATTAGCTATCGTTGCTAAGTCAAACATTGGCAACTCTAGATCTTCCTTGTGGCTTTCATTAGTGCGACCTTGTTCCAAGCTGTATTCCGATCTTTCTGTAATGTAGGGTAAAAATTGAAATTAGACGAAACCAACTATTCAAAACAATTGCACTCATTTCCTTCCAAAGAGAAAAGAGCACATAAATAGAACAGTATCAGTAAACCAAACAAGCTACTTGACGATAAAATGACTATTTTAGTTACCTCCTCTCTTTAACTTTCGCTGTTTATGCTTCTTCTTCCAAACATACAAGGCCAAGGTTAGGCCCAGCATTAACACTCCTGCTAGTAATGCCAAGCCGACTATGACTTTCGTTCGCTTCTTCCTATTGGATTTGGAGCCAGCTTCGGAGACTGTCAAGTTTTCCATCCAAACAAAACCGTTAGTTAATCCCACGAAAAATAAATAAGTTTCCAACCCATGAAAGTTCCCATTTTCGAAGACAAAGCCTCTTCTTTTACTTGGTAATTAGATTTTAAAATTTAAAAATATTCAAGAATATTTAGAAAATTGTTTGTTTGATGCTATGACCATTAGTTTCTTACATTATATGATTTCAGTCACTATATAAATATTGGAAAACTAATAATCAATAAAATACAATTAAAACCAAGTTCAAGAGAATGTGTGTGAGAGCTTCTATATGCCTCCTTTCTACAACTCTGCTTGCAAAGTTGTTGAAAAGATTGGCAACTTTTTTTTTTTTTTTTTAATTTCCACACCAGAATTTAAAAGCTACTCATCTACATGTTTGGGAATATATATATCATACATACCTAACTCAGAGGAGGCCATTCTTATGTAAATATCTTGCCCACTTTCAGGGAGTTCCCTAATATCAATCAGGTCATCAAACCAGAGCAAGCAGCCACTTCCTCCTGCTGTTACGTTTATATTTGCATAAGCCATACAAGTACAGTTTTTCAAGCATACCGCCTTGCATTCCTCGAGGGTCATGCTACTATTAAACCAGGAAGACCGCGTGTCAGGCAATTTAACACCTGAATACTTGAGAAATCCATTTGATGATTCATTGTGGCAATTCAAGAGCGTTCTTCGAACACACCCACCTGACCAATCTGCTTTGTCCCAATCTTTTTGGGACCTTGGCACAAATTTATCGAGACACCCACATGCCGGGGAGTTAGCAATGCTGCAGCTACCATAGGCATGACAAATCCCATAAACATCACAGTTATCTGCTGGTGCATTAACATAGATAATCCAATTTTTTGTATTATAATTCCACGTGAAGCGCTGTACAATTCCATTCTGATTCATAACCAGCCGTGAGAAAACCGAGCTATTAACAAGATCAAATCCATAATACGCCTCAATCTGATCAAAAACGAAATGGAATGTGTAGATGCTATTTGGTTTTAAACCCACGGAGCCACTAAAGCGGAGACCATTCCATGGTCCAGAGCGGTATTGCTCAACGGAACCTTTCAGGAGGACTAATTGTGGATAGCCACTAACATCAAGTCCAAAAGTATAATCACCTCTAGAAGGGTCATCACCGGACTTCCATGACCACAGACGCCTTTCAATTCCGGTTACTAGGTTCTTTCCAAGCTTCATACCCGGTAACAAAGTGTCAGATGGATAATCAAAACTCTGCCATAGGAAATTCTGACCGTTTGCAGCATCATTTGCATCTTTGACGACAAGATTACCCGAATCCAAAAGCTGTGCAACCGGGCTGTGTGTGCTACTGTTTGATGATGAATTTGAAGAAGACCAGAAGATGGTGTTTGTACTATTGACAAGCACGAGAACTCCTCCGTCAGTGAGCTTTAGGACACCTCCTCCTGAAGTATCAGTAAGTGGAGTGTCTCTGTTGGCAACCCATACCACAGTCCCATTAGATATTTTCTTGTACCAAATCCCCAAGTATCGATTCGTGGAAGTGGTGCCCAGGGGGCTGAAAAATCCCAATTCGAATGTTCCGTCTGAAGTGACCATGGTTTGCCCATCTGAAAGAGAGAGAGTTGTAGTAATGGTGTCTAATTCTACTGCATCAGAGATTATTGATAAAATGGAAAACACAGAATACAAGAAAAGAATTATTGGTTTACTCATGCTTGACATGATGGGGTGTCTGTGTTTCTCTGTTTTTTATTCAATGTTTGGTTCAGCTAACCCATAGGGATATAGTAGGATGGTTATTGTTTGGTTAGCAGACGACAAACAAGAAAAAAACGAAATCACAAAGTTTTCAAAGTCATCCTTTCCCACTCTTAAGGCTACTAAATTAAATACAGGTGGTGTGCTAGCATGGGAATCTCCATAGCATGAATGAGCAATTGATTAAGTCATGTACTTTTGCTTAATTCCAATGGATACTTTAGTCATTTCACTAGGAAAAATGAGGCCCAGAATCTCCTATTTAAAAACAAGTTGTGACTGATGATTGACTTCCATTTGGTTCTTTCAAATTTGGAAATCCATCGTTGAATACACACAACACAATATATATAAAAAGGATCTGATTGGCATCATAAGCACGGCACCAAATTTGTCAATCATGAGTCAAAAAACAATAAGCTTCTATAAATATACTTTATGACTAATCCTTCATATTTTTCATTAATGTGGAAAAGGAGTGCGGCATATGCAGTTCGCACTTTGGGGGTAACGAATTCAAAGGGCAAGAATGTCCAAACACAAAGTATCTATCATCTTCTTTATTACCATGGGCCTGGACAACTAATTATTTGAAATAGTCAGCAAAATGGAAAGATGCATCTAGAAGTCACATATGATAAGACTGGTGACATTCACCCCTCAAAGCCAATATCATTTCTTTTCCTGTGAATATTTTACCGTAAAAAAATGTGAAAAACTATTGCTTTCTTTAATATTTCCAATTGTCAAATAGAAAATAAAAACATATATATTTCCAATAGTCATTTACATAGTTTTCGGGTAACCATCAGTTACAGCTGCAAATGAATCGAGTATTTATTATCATCTAGAAGGCATATATGACTAAGACTGGTGACATTTACCTAACGGTGCCAATACCATTCGAGTATAGTATTATTTCTATTCTGTTAATATTTTATAAGAGAAGGAAATAAAGAAATTACTTCCTTTAACATTTCCAATTGTCGTTTACATAGTTTTCAGATAACCATCGCTGACTAGACTTGTGAAAAAAACAGTGTCATCTTTTCTTTTCTTTTTTCGATAAGTTAAAGAAAAAAAAAAAAAAAAAAAAAAAAAAAGTGTCATCTCACTCCAACACTGAAACATTTCCCTTCCAACTGCATGAGGCAACCACATTTGGCAAGATGGGATGGAAAACCACATCTATGCATGCCTCCTCATACACCTTAATTTTTTCTATAAGTTGGGAGGATCGAGAATTGTAAAAATAAATGCATCCATCCGAGGAGCCTGACACAAGTCTCTCTCCGTCCAAGCTGAAATTGCATTTGATGGGGAAACCAGAAACACCATGACTTTCGTATCTCCTGTACTTGTCAAGCTTGAAAGGGGGCTTGGAAGAGAAGATTGCAATGTAGTTTCCATTTGACTGTGCAACAAAATAAGGATCAAATGGATGGCACCTAATACAAGGGCAGGTATATGCCTCCACATAAACCTAATAACAAAGAGAAAAAAGGGAAAAGATCAGGTGAATATAGGAAGTAAAAATTTGGAAACATGAATGATCTGTATTCATACCCACATAGATAAAGAAAGGACCCGCATGGATAAAAAGGAAGGTAAACGTATATGATCTAAGCTTATTATCAAAGCGTGTTAATCAATTTGTAATTTTTTTTTTTTTTTTTTTTTGAATGGGATTTTTGTTTTATATAAAAAAACAGAATAGTGTGCTCACAAATAAAGAAAAACACTCACAATAACATTTTTCTTTCAAAAATTCATTCAAAAGCTCTAACAAAAAGTAGGAAAAAGTATTTTAAAACCCTATTGGACGTCTCAAGAAGTTCCGTTGAAAAAGGAGTTAATTTTGAATGCTGAAAGGTAAGTGATCGACACAAGCTCAATACCTATCGATCATATTTGAACATCACTTAGAGGAGGTAAGTGTGTGTAAGTACATTTTTTTTTTTACTTACATAAAATAAAAATAAAAAAATAAAAAATAAAAAGTACACGTGTTTTTTTAAAAAGATTTTTGAATGTTTTCAAGAGTCAAAATATGTTTTCAAAATCTCGGAACAGCCCTTGAAACAATACCCAACACCAACATGGGATGTTGTGTTCAATCAATTTCTAACATGTCTGTAATATTTTGACAATATCTCATTCCATGCTAGAGTTTTGAAATGATCTTTATACTGCCAGAAACTAGACTAGATAAGCTTTCTAACGATAAATTATTTGCTAAATTTCGAGTACGAATTCTGGGAAGTTAGAGTTTCTGCAGAGTTGTGGAAATTTTCCAACAGAGTCCAACTACTCTCGGTAGTTGGTCTGCAGAGTCGAACCGGTTGGAAATTTCCCAACCAGTTGCAGTAGTCTCAGTACTTTGCATTCTTGCAGAGTCCACCCGGTTGGAAATTTCCCAACCGATTGCACTTGCGGTGCTTCGGAATACTATGTTTTTGGATAAGGTTTTAACTCCTTTTTCAACCGAACTTCTTGAGACATCCAATAGGGTTTTAAAATAGTTTTTCCTACTTTTATTTGAACTCTCTGTCTATAAAACTCCAGTTTTTTCCAGTTCAATACACATAAGAGACACATTATTTTTCATTGTCATAGCTTTTGAATGAATTTTTGAAAGAAAAATGTTATTTTGAGTGTTTTTCTTTATTTGTGAGCACACATTATTAACGGTGAGTCTCATTAGGGTTCTTCATCAAATCAATGACATACAGAGCCTTCTACAGTTCATCATGATTAATCAGGTGGCAGAAGTTTTCCTTCATTTTTGCATTTGTGAGTGAAAGGCAAGTTCAATCATTTGAAGAAGCGGATCATCGTGAGGCGATTCCGTTGATATAGATCAGTGCATTTTTTTATTTTTTATTTTTTCAGGCAAGTCTCACACCCAGCCCATTCCGGGGCTCAAACCCCTCCCCTTCTCATTGAGGATGGAGAGATTATACCAATGGACTAGAGGTAATACAATATGTGGATCGGTATTGCTGGTGGATCTGAAAGTACTAGGATTAGAGGACATTGAGCGTAGAAGGAATCAACAACAGGTGATTCTAAAGGCACTAGAATCATAGACTCTTGTGGAGAGCAGGTTCGGAGGGGCATTGGAACTTGTTGTACACTTTCTTATCATAGTGGATTGTTTTGCCAGAGACAGCTAGTCTCCATAGTTTTTTTCCTCGTTAAGGTTTCCACTAAAAATCCTGGTGTCATCTCTTACTCTACTGTTTTTATTTACTGCTTTGCATAACTGATTTAGTTTTAATTTGATAAAATTAAAATAATCCTAAAATCAATTAAAAGAACAAGCTAGACCTATTCGCCCAAATCAAACTTTCTACTACTACTTCTGCACCGCGCAACTCACACATGATGGCATGGTTCCATTTATGTTTGGGTATAAGATTGAACCCTAAAATGGACCGCCCTAAAGACATAAGACAAACAAAGTTGGATTTATGAGTATCCCCATGCCAAGCAAATACTACATGGACATAACAGAATTAGTGAAAGATAACATGAATGTTGATATGCACTAATGTAAATCATGCATACCTATGTGGGATCATCTTATTATGATAGTGCTTAGCAATTAAATTGTACACAACAAATCAAGAATGAGAAGTATTGAAACTAAATTCAAACCTAAAATTGCTAAGTAGGAATCAGATTTTAAGCTAAGCATCACCAAAGAAAAATTGACTTTCTTTTTCATGTAATTTTTTTTTTTTATTATTATATTTATCAAAGCAAAAAATCAAAGAAGCCAAATAACCAGCTAAACTATATGCCCTCCCCACAAAATAAGCAAACTAGACAATTACAATCCCAAGAAAGGACACAGGGAAAAACTATTCATTCCTCCAACTCTATTTCATTTTGCAATAATGCATGTAAATGATGACGCCAAAAGATTTCATACCTAAAGTATTCAAGTGAAACAAAAGGAAAAATGGTGAATAGGTCCTATACCTGATTAGACAGCGGAACTTGTCTCGACACATCCCAAACGATGATTGAATTTTCACTGACATTGCTTTTAGATGCATCACTTGACGAGATGAACTGCTTGGCATCATTGGTGAATTCAACGTCAAGGATAGGACCAAGACCTCGAATATATTCATTGACCACCTTCCCAGTTCTAATATCCCATAATCTAAGGAAGCCCTTTGACCCCCCAGAGAGGAAGATGTTGGGGTTGTCTGGACAGAACTTTATTACTCCAACAACTTGATCCTCCTCGAAAATCTGAGTCTGTAGACCCTTCTCAACGTCAATTAACCTCGATGAGCAGTCATATCCACAGGAAAGCAAATACAGTCCCTGCTGCGACCACTTCACGTCTTTCACTGCTGCAGTGTGATAATTCAATACACGTGCTTTCTTCTGATCTCTGCTCCATACATTCCATATGCAGATGCTATGATCCATTCCAGCAGACGCAAGAAGATGAGCTGAAGACTAACTTTTATGAACAAATCAGAAACACAAGGATGCCGCATAATAATCAAAATACATCATATCTCAAGAATTAATTAGAAACAGTTAATAGGACATTCTGCAACTCGTATTTAGCAATAAGTTAACTGACAGTATGACTGGAATACTAGAAAACAGTTGACATGGTGTTTAAAAAACAAGTTACAAACAAAGATATTATAACTTTGGATTGAATGGTCAAAAATTAAAGAATGCCAAAGTACAGCAACATTCCATTCTCCCCACTGAGCAGAAAGGCTCACCATTCTGATTTTAATCATAAAATATTTTCAAAACAGTTTTTGCATTAGCCAGTTAGTGGAGATACTTGGTATTATTGTCTCCCTCTTCTCCTTGATGTAGACCAGCTGTTTGCATTGGTTTCACCAATATCCCCTCTTCCTTTCTGGAAGATATTAATGATCCAGGCTCCTTCTAATCCAGCCATATTATCTCCTCCAAGATTTCCTCTTTCAGCACCAGTCCTAACACAACACATCTTTTCCACTTCATTATCTATTTTTGATCACTTCTTTTTCTCTACCTTCAAAGTGTTCCATTTTTCTTGTTTTGCTTCATTTTTTTGTTTCCCCTTTACAAGCCTAAGGAACTTTCAAAATTTTGGAAAAGTAATAACTTGTCTTTCCAGAAAGAAAGAGATTTCCCAACACTCCATTATCTCTAAAATTTGTCCACGACAACACGTTCCTGGACCTGCCTGATTCATTTGCTGTTTCACACCACAGATCCTCAAAACACAAGGACTATGGTTAAAATATGACCTTCATAAAGCAAATTGTTCTTGTTAATAAACTGCTTTCCCATTATGTCACAAATGGAATACCATCTTAAAATACAAATTGAAATTTCAAAAATACTACAAAATTTGGAAATTTCGAGAAAATAGCTCTAATCAAAGGTTAGGTCTGTCTCAAGTCCTTCTCCAGGACCAGAACTAGATAATGCCCTTTTAGATCTATTCCTGTCCTTTTTTCCCTTAAGAAAGGAAAAACTAGAACAGAAAATTATGATTTCGGCCATTTTAGCAATCAAACAAGCACAATATTGTTCCATCTACCTAAACATATGCTAGGCATTTGAGTACCATTTTAGATTCTTATTATGGATTAGTTGAACTGCCCAAACTGGAACAAATGTAACAACACGTCTTTCTTCAACCTATACTATGAAGTGATTAAGTCATATCATTCTTGAGAGAGAGAGAGAGAGACAGAGAGGATTTTCTAGTAGAATGCTCTTAAGAAAAGTGGCTGCCCTCAGTTTTGAACCCAAGTTCCCATGTTTGATTGTTGAAGCTTCAATCATTGCACCAACCAAGATTTAAAAACCCAGAACAAGGTTGTAATGAAAAAAGAAAAATTGTGTTTCAAGTGCTTGATTCCACTCATTTGAACCACAAATGTCAGTTACATTCTGAAAATGCGAACCACCAATTCAGATTGAGCAACTGGTTCTCCTGATACCTCAACAGAAACAAAAATATCAAATATGCAATGCCATCCATGTTTTCTCCTCAAAGCATATAAATGAACTAAAGTAAACTAATGAAAGTTAAAAAGAACAAGAAAATCGGAAAGGAATGGGAAAAAAATTCACTTCTCCATTTGGATAGAGTACTCACCATGACATGTTGACCACTGTACAACATTAACAGCCTTTGAGTGGCTGTTGAGAGCTACAGACCGCCTTTCAGACCTCTGGCCTAGCTGTGCATGCCCCTTTAACTGACGTCTCAATGAGGTCAAAATATCATGTGGTAGATCTGAATCCGAAAGACTTCCAACCACTGAGAACAAAACATGTCCTCAAGTTAGTGAGTGAACATGTTTCCACTAAATGAAACTGAATTTATAAAATAAAGGAGAGAGAGTAAGAACTTTTTACAAGTATCAGATTGTACCAAATATATTGCAAACAATGACAAGTACAGAGAATTAGACAATATGTTGATGATGTATACTCATACTGCTACATGTTGATAATTCAAGATGGCGCAAAATGGCATTTTCAATACAACCTGGAAGCTTCTATTAAAAGGTCATGGAGTTTGGACTCAAACATGTAAACAGCAATGTACCAACAGCCCAAGACATGCTCCATGACAACGTCAAGGTGAAGTGGTGTAAAGCAGATGACTATCTAGCCGATCAAAAACGAATGTCCAATAGATAAAGGAAGTCTAAATCAGTTTAATTCTGTTCTCATGGTGTCACATTAGGGAAACTGTTGGGATCACTGTGCATCAATATGGAAGATGTTAACCCAATAAAGCCCAAATTGTACTAGACACATGTCCACACCAATGAAGGGTTGCCTCACAATGTTCTATTATACCAAATCAACTAAATTTTTGCAAGATTGATCTACTAAACCGGGAAAGACTAAATGGATAGTCTAGGAAACCCCATTTTTTTCTTGTATTCATCCCAATCACGCATTTCTAAGAAATGAGCTCTTACAAGACCAAAAGATGATTATTGATACGCTTCTCTTGACACCAAAACCAGAATAGTACAAGAATCTAGTAAAGTGTACATGCACACTGGGGCTACCAAAGCCTACAAGAAAACAGAAACATCTGCGGTTAAAGAGTACTATGATAAAACAATTATTAATAGTCTCAGCAACTCAATCCATCCTTCAGAGATGATTTTCAACTTATACATACCCACTTGTTAAATGTGGGATTGTTAAGAAAACCTAAAATAAAACCACAAGATCAATAAACATAGAATTCCAAATTCAGCAGACTAAAAAATTCTTACCAGAAAAAAATATATATGGCATCAGTCAATTGAAAAATAGAAGCACAAGGAAAGGAAGAATGAGAGAAGTAAAGAACCAGGTGATGATGCATGATTGGCAGTAGGAGAAGGTGGTGGGTTGGGGTGAGGAAGTGTTGCAACGAGAACAGCTCGCTCTCTCTTGGATACGTATCTGCCGGGAATCGGAGGTTCGGTTGGAAGAGGCAATGGGTTTAGGGTTCTGGATCGCTTGGACGGAGGAGGCAGTACGTGTCTGCCGGGAATCGGAGGTTCGGTTGGAAGAGGCAATGGGTTTAGGGTTTTGGATCGCTTGGACGGAGGAGGCAGAACTGGCCTTTGATCTTCGGGTTCGTCGTCTGAAGAAGCAGTTGTTGAGTATGCTTTGCAGAGAAGATCCATACTGTTATACCATACGTGAAAAGTAATTAGTGTCCGAAATTTCTTGCTTGAATTGAATGGTTTTGAGGTTAGGGCAAAGTTGGTCCGCGAAATTGGCGAGAAGAGGAGTCAGCAATTTCATTAGCAGTTGCAGGGTGCAGCATTGCTAACTTGCTAGGCATTTGGTTCCATTTCAAGAACAGTAAACAATTTTTTAATTTTTAATATTTTTTTTTTGTTTTGGTAATCCCAAATTCAAAAAAAAAATATAATTTTTAAAATTTAACCAAAACAACTTATCAATTAATTCTTTAAAAATTATATTTCGAACTTATCAATTTTAATTTTCTCAACAAAAGCACTCGAAAACGTCAATATCACTTCAATAGCCACAGTTGTTTATTGTTATATTTTTTTAATTTATTTTTATGGTTATATATTTTTTTTATTATTATTGGCTTAGTGATTAACATGTAATACTACGTTTTTAAAACTTTAAGAAGTGATGCAGTACTTGCATTCTAAAATCTTATGAAGTGAACGCAAAGTAGAGAGAAAAAATAAAAAATCAAAGCTTATCATTTCTCAAAAATTAAGATTATTTTTTTATATTTCTTATCAAATAATTATTATTGTTAGAATAGAAATAATTTGATCAATTGATATGTAAGAGAGAAATTGGATAATCAATGACTCAAATAAAAAAATTTATTTTAATATAAAAACACTTTTAGAAGCCAAACACCCGAAATATTTTCTGACAAAATATTTTTAAAGCCTCTGTCAAACACTGGAAAATAAAAAATAAAGAAAACATCCTGCATGAAAAAATGTTCCTTATAAAACATTTTATAAGAAAAAAAATTTAGGCGCTTTCTTTTTTATATTTTGCTTATTTAATATTATAAATGTAAGTATAATATATAAACTCAAAAGAATCAAGGAAAATTTTTAATAAATTATTCTGCAAGTTTTTCTCTCTCTACTTATTAACTCGAAAGAATCAAGGAAAAATTCTAATAAATTATCCTGCATATTTTTCTGTCTTTAAAAAGCACTCAATCACTTCTCTCTATAAAATCTGACTAATATACAATACAAACAAAACTTTTATATAAAGAATTATTATTTTTTAAAAACAGAAGATTTTCGAAGAATACTAATGTTGTGCTCGGGAGTGCAAAATTGGCATTTTGGATGTCAATTCTGTGCTCTAGACATACATAGTATGAGAACTTAAAAATCACCATTAAATAGACATGTTAGACTAATGCACTTCTCTTTGAACTATGTTCGACCAGTGCATCAAAATTTAAAAAGTTGAACTGGTTTTAAAATATGAAACCTGTTGGCCAAAACCTGTCCCCCAAAAAGTTCCAATGGTGCAAGGGCTCACTGTTCTATTCAACAAAACTAGAATGCGAAATTTTAGTGATTAATACATTAGAAATTGAACTTATTGTTTGAGGAAAGTTCACATATCGTTTGCCGAAAGGAAGAAATAAATAAAACACAGAAATCAGAGTTAAAAACTGATATAAACATAGAGAAAGAGAGCGTCAGCCACCACTACTATTGCCGAATTTGTCCTGGATGTCTTTGAATGAAACTGTTGCAGACCCCCTACTTTTAGGCTTCTGCTGAGAAGAGTGTTCCTTCCACCCTGTCATGTAGATAACCTACAAAGCTCAAGCAGGGTTAGGATGCACAAAACAAAACAGGTTGGCACGGAAAAAAAAAAAAAACATAGAAGGAAATTTAGGCCAGATAAAAGATATTCTCTCTTTTTGCTAGCAATGCTGCGCAAAAAAAAAGTGCCCACGGACGAGAAATGTGAAATGCAGAGAGAATTTCTAATTTATTGCTTCTTCATTAGTTGCCAACTACACAAGAAAAGAAAGCCATGAAAAAATCAAATTTTCTTCACTTCTACATTTGTCTATTCAGAATAAAAGCTGGCATAATAAAGTTAATTATCGAGGCATATATCTGTCGTGAGTAAATTTTACCTCACATACTGGTTTTACGGGGAATACAGATAGAGCATGAAAAAGGATCGAAGCAACCACAAAAAGTATAAATAGCATGCTGAGAGAGAGGGAGCTTTGTTCTGTAAATATATTAATGTCCAGAGCTGCTCCAGAAAGGAAAATATATATATATCACAATAAAAACAGATATTTTAGTGTAAATTCATTTCTTTTATTCAAAGGGGTGTGATACTCGTTGCTCTTGCACTCCACGTGATTTTTAAATAAAATAAGTGACACAGTTACCTCTTGAAAGTAGAGTGTAATAGTACCTTTTAGGGAGAAAAAAAATGAAGAAAAGAAGTAGCAATTGCAGTGCAAGTACATTTCCCTACTCAATAATCATTAAATTTTCACATTATGCATCATCTGTAACAAGCTAACTACCGTAGAATATACAACATTAATAACTATAATGACATATTAACAATAACTTGATACTTTAGTAGTTCAAACTTTTTGCGAAGTATTGGTGGTCCAAAACTTCTGATTTTCCAAGGTATGTTTTAGTATTATTACATTTAAGTTCCAACTGGTGTAAGGCAAAGTGGCAATATATTCAATTGTATCTCACTATCTCAAATAAGGACGTGGATTTTAACAAAAATAAAAAATAAAAAAATAAGAACGTGGACATGTACTGTACCAATATAATCAAATAGGCTGCCCATGGGGACAGTGCAAATATATTCATAATGTTTACACCTTAAAGTTAAATTAAATAGATATTAGTGAACTTTTATTCAAATGAGTAAAAAGTATATTAAAAAATTTGAAATAATGCAAATATATTCGATAAAATCAATTAAACAGATATTAGTAAACTTCTATCGCTAACACCTTAAAGTTTAATTTACAGGCCATTACTCATATTAAAATACTTCTAAATATTCAATAAAATCCATTAGAAATCATTAAGAACATGTTTCTATGACATCGTGGAGTTAAAAGTAACATATTTGTTCATTTTGACCTCACAATCGTAATGGCTGACACCATTACATACCATCCATTACACCACATGTCTGAGAATCGAGACAGTGCTTGTGTTAGTGCCTGTGACCACATATCAGTTCCTTTCTTGCTAACAACATTCGTCTTTTGTCATCTTTTAATTTTTAGAATTTTAGTAGTGATCCAAAAGGAAGGGAAAAAAATAATAATAATAAGACGAAGCTGACAATACGCTAACTAAATAAATAAAAAAAAACACACTTTCTAAAGGCAGTACTTTATTGCACCTGAAAGGTTGCAGGGACGGTGCCATCTTCTTCTGCAAACATTGACTCGTAAACGGCTGCAGTTGCCAGGGCTGTCTCTCTCTTTAAGATCTAACATTATTGGGGAAATTTAAATAAAAGTTATTCGATGAAATTATAAAACAGGCAATACTCTTTAATTTTTAAAATACACAAGGATACAAATTTGTCCAAAAATATGAATGCCATTTTCCAGTATATCTTACATTCTTCCTTTGTAAAAGAGCATTAGTTTCACCCATTGATCGCAGATGCTCTATCAGTTCAAGAGCTACACCAAGAATAACAAAATGTGATATATGAGATGAGAATGTAAGCAATCTCTCCTAAAAATCATTGAAATTAACCTTCTTTTTCATCATAGCATTCAGTTTTCAGATGTAGCAAAATAAAGAAGCAAAACAAGTGTTTCCTAATAGACAAGTGAATTACAAAAAAAGAAGAAAAATTAATGCAAATTTAAGAGCTGACAAGGATAAAAGTAATGAATACCAGTTGGTGAAAGAACAAATGATTTACAAAGGACTGTTCACAACTTTTCAAAAACCACTATCCTTCCTCTACTACACACCTTAACTGGGATATGATAAGACATCAAAGTTCGACAACTAACAATAATTACATTGTTGCATTATTTTAAAAAATAAATAATTGAAGTTTTCCATGCCACAAAATTACAACCAACATATCTACAAGCAATAAGCATTCGTAGTTTATATGAATTCCCACTCAGGAAGAATGTAAATTTCAACTAACATATTTATTAGCAATAATGATTCATGTTAAACATAGTTGCTTTAAGTGCGGGTGTCACACAAGTTCTGATTGAGGATTTATGGATCATCTAAGTGCGGGTGTCACATAAGGTCTGATTGAGGATAAGAATCATTGAAGTGTGGAATAACGAAGAAAAGTAGGAGAATAAAATAGGAATCACTCCTAGGATAACACACCTATAGTTTGAATTGCATCATCACAAATAATTCACAAAGAACATAAAATTTATTTTTCTTTTTCTTTTTTTTTTTTCCTATTAATTTTTTTTTTTCATTTTACAAAGTTAAATTACAGGATGAAAATGCTCACCACTTTTATATCTAACAGTGTATTCATCAACATCAACACCTGGAAGAGTGAAGCCTGCCCTAGTCAAAAGATTCCCCGCATCACGCACCTAAATAAAATGACCAAGAATGTCAGCTTAGAACCACATGACAGATAATAATGAACAATAATAATTTAAAAAATGAACCAAAAGTACCTTGGCAATAACTGACAGTCACAGCAATGCAACCACATAAGAATAAAACATCTAGAGATTTAAAGATCTACTTTTAAGCAATAATATAGGAAAAAAGAAAGAAAATGCATGAGAAGATTGTTTGACGTAGAAAAAGCCAGAGCAACCGCAGCAACAGGAGTTAGAAGAAAATATAGACGAAAAAGAGAAAAGTTAAAAGGAAAAGAATAATGCGCAGTAAGAATTTGCATAAGATTGTTCAAGTTACAAAAGCTGAAGCAACTACTGCAACATATATGTTACGACAAATACCGCGAACCAAGAACACAATCAAGAATCACGGCAACACTACACACAAAGTATACAAAGATTTATGTGGTTTGGCATAAGCCTACGTCTACAATGAAGATCCGGTGAAAGATTTCATTGCGAAAATCAGAAGATCACAAGTTTCAACTCCCAAACCCTAGCACTCTCTCACTCTCTTTCCTGCAGTTTTCAGTGTTCTCTCTTGGCCCACCCCAAACCCTAAACGCCCTTTTATACTGGGCTACAAAGAATTCTAGAACTGGGTCCACAATGCGTAAGAGAAAAAAAGGTCAGAAAACCCACACAAAGCCCTTTTCCCGGGTCAAAACCAGTTCGCAAAACAAAATTCAAGCCACAACATCTGTGGCAACCTATGTGGGCTGGCGTGAATGGGCACTAGGCGAGTTACCACACTGGGCGAGCTACAGGTTGCACAATCCCATATCGCCCGGGAAAGGTGAAGGTGGGTTGCTTATATGTATTGGTGCTATCTCCGAATGGAATGAAGCCTTTTGGGGTAAAATTCAAGAACAAAACTGTGTGGCCTCAGGCCCAAAGCAGGGAATATCATATCATGTGGTGGAGTGGGTCATTATAAATGGTATCAAAGCCGGATCCTAGCCGAAAGTGTGGCCAACGGGGACGTTGGGCCCCCTAAAGGGGGTTGATTGTGGCAACCTATGTGAGCAGGTGTGATGTGGGCGGGCGTGAATAGGCACTGGGTGAGCTACAGGTTGCACAATCCCACATGTTCTATCTCCCAAATGGTATGAGGCCTTCTGGAGTAAAACCCAAGAACAAAATTGTGCGGGCTCGGGCCAAAGCGGACAATATCAAACCATGTGGTGGAGTGGGCTATTACAACATCACAATATGCAATAAAAAATTATAAACCACAGCAAAATGTATAAGAAGAAAGCATCAAAAAGAGAATTTTTTTTGAAAAATAATAATATGCAGTAAAAATTTACAATTGCCCCCCACTTGATTATCCAAATTTCTGATAAAACCATAATATAAAAAGATTTAAACCAATCAATCGAGACAAAAAACTCTAATGACAAACAAATTGACGTTGAATAGCCCCCATACTGAAAGATAAAAAGGCACTCTTCAGAAACAAAGATATTGGAATAGACAGATATAGAAAATAAAAATAAAAAATAAACACAAACGGAAAGAGAGTTGCAGAGAAGCTAGCTGTTGCAAGAATTATCTTTTGATGCCATCAATAGATCTTCACTACCAAAAAAGAAAGAAAAAGAAAAGAAAAAAAGGGAAACTAACAAAAAATACTTTGAATATGAGATTCAACCTAAATATTTTTAAGCTTCCAAGCATATATACAGAACAGAATGAGGAGAGAAAGAAGCTATAAATATTGATGACACAATCCATAGCTAACGCAGTGCACGAGACCCCCGCCATTGCGGGGTCAAAAGAGGGTTTGATGTACGCAACCTTACCTCCCTGTAAGTGAAGAGGCTATTTGTTGTTTTGAACCTGTGACCTCCGGGTCATAATGGAGCAACTTTACCATTGCGCCAAGGTCCTAATTCCATAGCTACCAAATATAATCTGGAATTATGTCTTGGCTCCTAATCATATTGATTGGCTCGCATGATCAAGAAATAGCTATAGAATTCAAAGAGGGAAAAAAATTCAACCTTGTAAACATAATGCATGCGTGTTCAAAATTGTATAATTATGTGCCAAACTCCCATTTTTGGTGTCCATAATGAGCACAAAAGGTAGAATCTCAATTTCAGGTTGGACTTCAAGGACTGAAACTGATACGTCAGACTTTATTTGAAATTTGATCATTATTGGAACCATAAAACAAATTTGAACTTCTCCACTAATCCAAATGTCATTTACTCAAAAACAAAAGTTTATGCAAAAGCAATTGAACTATGGAAGCTGAACACGTGCTAAAGAAAATTGTACATAAAAAAGTTATACGCTTGCATGCAAAAGAAGAAATCCACTCCATATCAAAAGTGTGCTGAATTTTCAAGTCATTTTACAGCATAATGAGGTAAGAATGCAGCCAAATATATACATGTGCCAAGGGTGATAATCGTGGACTGATGCCTCCTTCCCGCTCCATTTGTGCTACAGTGCATGCTATTCTCAGTTCCCTAGTCATAATCCAAGCAAAAAAAAAAAAAAAAAAAAGAAAGGGTTTCTTACATTGAAATATTTCATTCACTTAAAATATAAAAAATAAAAGGAATAAACCTTAATGTTTCTCCACCAAGAATAGCTGCCAAAAATAGGCCATCAGACTTCAATGCCAGCCTACTCTGTCATAAATACAACAAACATGAAGATATGTCTTTGACATACTAAACGAAAAATTATAAAATCATTTTTTTTTTTTATAACTTTTGGGAAAAAAGTAAACTTCATAACAAGAAAAATAAGTATACTATTTGTAATTCAGTAATAGTAATCCAAATACTAGCAGCAACAGAAGCAGATACCTGTATCATGGCTCCAGGAAGATCATTCGTCCAATGGAGCCCCAAGCAACTGATTACCAGATCTACAGAACTTCACATCCAAAGAACTAGCTATTAGCATGTATATTAAGATTTCCTCCAAGTACTTTGGACAAGAATTTAGGACAGAATATATCAAATTAGTTTACAATATATTTTTTTGGGTAAATAAATTAGTTTACAATGTAGATCCATATAGACAGCTAATTCTGCATACCTTTCTTTTAAAGGCAAAAATTCTTCATCACCAACCACAAATGATGTTTCAATGCTCTTACTGGACACATCTTGCTCAGTTTCTTTACACATTTTCACCATGTCATATGATGTATCCATCATAATTAGCTTTTCGATGGCACCTGACATAAAAAGAGTATTTATAAAGTATTGTTCTAAAAAAATTACTGCAGTAATAGCAATCTTTTTATCCAATCATTCAAATGAATCATGCTTTCAGCAATTGTACTAATGAATAAAGGCATAGTTTTTCACAAATGACCGAAGGAACAGATTTCCTCAAATATCTCATATGACCGGATGACATTGTTCACCATGAACTATAAAGAATTAAGGATATACAGCATGCAGGTTGAGTTGGGTCCGACGCAATAAAATACAGTTTGAGACTCAACACAGGGTACAACAGGGATCATGAAAATGAAAATTATAAGATTGGAAGCCACTAAGATGCAACATGGGTTAAACCCAATACAACCTGAAAAGCACAGCAAGCTTGAGCTGCGGTCTTTAAACTAGTGATCTTTATTTTTTGCTGCTAGGGACTTGAGCCACAGACATTTAGGTTTAAGCAACCAACCCGATTGCAACCAGCCTACAATAATGATGGTTTTAAAACTAGTTTTGGACTTCTGCTGAGAAATGCCATATTAACCCAAGGTTGAGTTTGCTTGCATGAGGGCTAGTGCAACCTGACCAAATCCAAATCCAATATAAATTAAGTAGACTTTAATATGATCATACGTACATTACATGAAAAAATGACTGAAGGGATATTATATGGTGTAATGCTAAAAGTTTGGGCTGTCAAACATGGTAGAGGTGGTGTACTACTACCCACTACTCAGTGCACCCTTGCCAACCACTTTGGATACTTCTGTTTATTTATAGCAAATTATTGGTCCACGGTAAAAACAGGGTTTGAGCACCTTTGTTTGGCACATTTAGTGAGATACTCATAGATAAAATCATTCCTATACACCTTTAATAACTTTCTACACCATTAATATTTCATGAAGTTCATATGTGGATTAAATGTACCCCTCACTATATCATGCAAGCAAATATTGATGTGATCGCAGATTGGGGTTACCCCATTTATTTAAAATTCAATATTTGTTAGCATGCATGATGACCAAGAACAAAAAATCTATTCAATAGAGTATGGGTTTGATGAAAATTCATTGGGAGATGAAAGAATAGCAATTGTTACAGAAGAATAAGAGAGAAAGAGAGAACTAGGATTGACTTACACTTGGTTTGAACTTTCTATTACCACACGCCTAAATATCAAGTCCATCAGAGACCAAAAGCTGCCTTATCCACATATCCACTAAATTAGACTTTAAATTTTTATTTTAATGAAAGCTGTATGACTTAACGCATTCAACAGCCACAACTATCTGATCAATGTGATATTCAGCAAGCCAGACAAGCATAAGAGGGGGTATTAATAAAAAATAGGCTCACCTATTTCCACGAAAAGTTAGAGGGGCTTAGTAATAAGTTTTATCCCAAGTATATATCGGTCCAGCATCATATATTAAAACATGTGCTTGTGAGAGAATGCGCACAAGTGCACACGTTATGCCCTTATTACTTACAATTCCAAAAACACACACATCAAATTTCAAGCCAAATTTACCTTGTATAAGCAACAACTGTTCAATTATATATGAAGGCATAGGCGTTTGTAGTTGACAATATGATCTGTCATCATATTTGTGACTACGGCAACAACTTTTTGGACATCTGTGTGCATTCATTTGTTACACATTACCATATTTCAAAGTGTGGGTATGATAGAGTGAAATCCATATTGATCATATCATAATTAGAACGTATCTTTGTGAGCATATAATTACATTTATAAGTTCCTTCATGCACATACATTATTGAGTTAAACTGTTTTTTCTCACCCACAGCTTACCAGATTTCTCTATGTTTAAGTGTATTTCGAAATTTGTCTTTTGAAAAATAAAAAATTTCACCTTAAAAATGACTCATGAAAAACAATGGCAGTATACTGGATTTGTATGACAAACAAGCAACATAAATTATCTTAATACTCTACCTACTACGCATCTACTGGAACTAATACCCAACGTCCCCCAATATCTTTTTTTCTTGAACTTGCATTTTGTATATTTCTTACCGCTGTAGTAACATACCAATCACTGTTCCAAAACAACAGGCATGGTTAGTACTTTCAAAAATAAAATTACGCTCTCACCGCGCCCACGTAACAAACGCCTAACAGCTTCCAAGGAACCCCCCAAACATAACGCTGTAGGAAATGTCTTTTTGCAATCCTACAAAAACAGAATACATATATATACATATATATAATTAATTAAAAAATTAAAAAATAAAACCTTAAACAACACAAAAAGATGCAACAGTTCCATAAACACAATCCTTGGACTTACAGAGTGAAAACTTATTATTATGGTCCAATTTGAAATTTTAGAAGTTTCATCATCTTTCACTACATTTAATCTTGATTCTAGAAATATTATTTCCACACAGACTAAGGAGTAATATAGGAGGCAGGAATTATTATTTTATTCTTAAAAAGTTGCAAGTGGCAGTACATATTATTCACATTACACATCATTTGGTAATTACTTTAAAAGAGGTCTAAAGAGTGTTGTTACTTTCAACATGTAATATGCAGATAAATACCTGTGTATTTAGAAAGACATGCAATAATATATAAGGAATGAAAATCTCTTCCTACACTCTAGGGGAGTACATTACATGTGTGCATGTGGGGGTTGGAGTGGCTAGTCTAAAGTTTATTTTAGACTTGCAATATAGATATTGCGAATTCCAGGCATGGATATCCAACCAAAGTCCCCAAATAGCTAAAGAGATAGGAGCACAAGAAGATATTTTTTCATCCCTCTGAGATTCGAGGTTCTGAAGTATGCCACATCTTGCAAAAGTAAAGTAATGCAGCCCATAAGAGGCTTTAGAAGTAGCAAAATTAAAAAAGAGAGATAACTTAGGAATTAGTCCGATTTTAAGACAAGTACCACTTTCAACCTCTCTTAATCAACAATCAAGCTTCTGTTTAAGTTGGGCCTTATTTAATTTCAATTATATTAGCACATGGTTGATTCTTATTCAACTTTTGTTGGGTCAAAGATATTTGGAATTTTATAGCGTTGACATAGAAATGACCCATGGGCTTTATTTTGGTAGTAATTATTCTTAGTTATGTTATTGAGAATAATTCAATAATATCAGTTTGAGAATTTCCTAGCTGATCATTCGAGATTGTATAACCCAACACCTGCTGTGAAACTTCCAAATGCAAATCTCTCTTTCAACATTTGTTGGGTCAGAGGTATTTGGAATTTTATAGCCTTGACATAGAAATGACCCATGAAACAACTTCTCTTGGGAAAAAAACAAAATGACCCATGGGCTTTATTTTGGTAGTAATTATGCTTAGTTATGTTACTGAGAATAATTCAATGATATCAGTATAAGAATTTTCTAGCCGATCATGAACTATCAGTGAGATTGTATAATTCAACCTAACAGCTGGTGTGAAACTTCCAAATGCAAATCCTAGAATAGCACTGGTAATAGCCGACCATGAACTATCAGTGGAATTGGCAAGGAACACAAGCACATATTATCATGTTGACAGCTTATTCATGGAATGTATTTTGAGTGTAACACTTTATTAAATGATGCAAAGAGGTTCTAGCGAAAGAGATAGTACAATCAATAAACTGTAGCCCCACCTAAGGACAGGTGGGTATGAAGGAGTACCTTTTGCAATCCATTTGCACTTATTGTAGCAATTTATAGTCAAAGTCCCAAAACTAAAGGATTGCCCCGCCTCTCCCTTTCTCATTGCTGGTTTGAGAATTTAACCAAACGCTAATAAAGCAAAATTATCGGGCCTTTGTTGGGTTCCGAAGAGAGTTTCAGTGCATTTCAATTGGCAAATAAAAAAGATTTTATTCCACATTAGTGGATTTTTCTCTGGCCAGGTTGCATTGGGTTGTAGCCCTAAATCAATAAAACACACAAATTATGTGGTTTGTGATTGTTGTTGTCAGTTTTTTACTATTTTCTTGAATTTATTTATTTATTTATTATTACTTCCACAAAAACCTTGGATTTTTTACCGTAATTATAATCAAACATTTAGTTCAATACATGAACCAAGAAAACAGACAGAAAAGAATATCAAACCAAAAAAATTATCATTTCAAAATGAAAACATCCGGAATAGATAATGAAAACTGTTTATCATCGAATTGGAGGTTACATAGTTTGTCATGAACAAAGTATTATACATAAATCACCTTGTGCTGAAAAAAGCTGTAGCATTATGTTGTTATGTAAGCCAATTCAAAGATCTATGGTTCCTTAAAACAAGCTACAGTTTCAGTCTTTGAATAATACTATGGCAACAGTAAGAATAACGACAGCGGCAGTCTACAACTTCCACCGCGTATATGTCTTTAGTAGACTGGATGGATATTTAATATAAATCCCAAGGAAGCTTGCTACATTATCAACAAGAGATGGACAGATAATTCAAGTGGCAAATAAGCTTACTACCTCCAATCGATCCAATAGATTCTCAGCCACAGTATCAACAAAAGAATCCTTCGGAGACATCAACCATGCAGCCCGGTCACGCTGCTAGTCAAAAAGATTAACATTAAAACCAAGAACTTGAAACCTAAAGACAGATATATAAATTAAACAAAATTAAAGAAAATAACAACTGTGACAAGAGAAAGGAACAAATTACAATCATAACAAAGGGAGAGAGTCCACAAGTCCAATCACAGGTGTTGTATGTGTAAGAAAGATGGGGAGTCGGCGGATCATCTTTTTTTGCATTGCCCCGTGGCTTACGACTGCTGGAGAATTATTTTTGGTTTGTTCAGCATCCATTGGGTTATGCGGGGTTTGATTGACGCTTGGAGAGGCTATTTTGTGGGAGCCCATGCTCGTGAATTTTGGTGGGCGGTTCCCTTTTGTGTTTGGTGGTGCATTTGGAAGGAGCAGAATAGAAGATCTTTCGACGGGGAGGAATCTTCCATTGGGACTTTGAAATTTCTTGTCATTAGTTCTCTTTTTAGTTGGGTTATGGGGAGAAATTGTAAATCTATAGAGGAGATTGTTGATTTTTTGGGTTCCTTGGGTTCGTTGGACCCTTTCTTTGGCTTTGGCCTTGTAAAGTGCCCAGGATGCGTTCCTCTTTTGAACACTTTCTATTATAATCTTATTTATTGAAAACTAATAATAATAATTACAGACCCTACCTAGCTGATCAAATTGGCCAAAAAAACTTGATTGTTGTTTTTATCATTCAGCAAAAAAAATTTGCTCCAATGGATGACTGCAATTCTAAAGACTCGAAGATGATACTTCATGTTAAGTGCTCTGAATGATTTCAAACACTATGGGAAAACTCAAGATACTGGGCAGATTATGGAAACACTATTAAGCACTATCAGAAACTGACATGGCACAACTAATTGGAAACTTAAACACATTGTTAATAATGTGTTTGCCAAATAATGTATGTACGTCTGGTCCAATAAAAATATTAATGAAAAATTTTTGAAAATAAAAAAGATCCTCAGTGCATTTAATTCAAAAACTTGATTGCAACATTAGGATCCATCAAAATGACTATTTGAAAAAAAAAACAACAGAAAGAATCACAACTGCTCGAATCTGAAACAAAATCTTGGAATTTTTACAAATCTGATTATGGTCCCCATTCAATTTCTACTGATTTGGTTTCACTGCAAATTGTTGCATATAATTTCCCAGAAAAGACGTGGAGGGAGCAAAGAATTTAGTAAAGGTAAACTCAGCAGCAGAGTTATACATTAGGCAGACTTGAGACAAATAGGAACTTTGTTCTCTGAGGCTCCAGAAAATGAATTTCAAAACATTTATTTCTGTCACATTTCCAAGTAACCAAACAGAAACTAATGGAAATCTTATTTCAAATAAAATAAAAATAAAAAAAAGAAGAAGGAAGAAATGTTATGATTAACAATTATTATTGTTACATTTATTTGAGTTAAGGACTTAACTTGTTTGCGTTTGAGATGACGATCGAAAATTTTGACCTTTGAACTCTGAAATCCATCGCCATCGATGTTGTCCTTGCAGAATGATCTTCTCCATTGTAAACCTCGCCGACACAGAGGTCCAATGAGTGCTCTCATTTTCACTTTGCTTTCTTAGACTGCTTAAGTTGTTTGAAAATCTCTATACCATCTCTAATTTCTATGAAACTGCAGATGATTGGTATTGTGGCAGTGTAAGCCAATGCGGTTAGATCTCATTTAACATAAAAGCTAAAATTATCAACTGTTGTGTGATAACCAAATGGTGCAAGTATTATACAAAAACATACTACATATTATTCAGTGTCTTTTAAGGACTAGTGTTTGAAATTGGATCGACTATACCATTAGAGAAACTTGACTCAAAATTATAAATAAAAGTAAAGCAAGACATGAAACAATTTCTTAGAAATTGTTGAGCTTAAGCAGCTCTGGTAATGAAGACAGAGAAAATATCGAACATGTTTGAAGAAAAATGTATTAGAAAAAGAATGATTCTTTTAGAATTGTTTCTTTTTTAGAACATAAAAGAGAAACATTTTCCAAAGGCTTTATTTGAAGCTACATTGAAATAAAGAAGTGCTGGAAATATTTTAAGGAAGAATTGCTTTATGAAAAACCAAAAAACACTTTATGAAACATGGGAATTTTGGAATTATTTTAGAAATCAAGAAAAAAATTCAGTAATGCATATACATTTGTATACATACACATATACGCACGCAAAATACAACATATATAGACACATTTACAATGAAAGGCGCACACATAAGTATACACATAAACACGCACATATACAAACAATAATTTCAAAATTGAAAATTTTGAAAAAATGATTTTTTTTTTTTTCTAAACTAAAATTGAAATTGAAATTACCTTTAATGACGCATACTGCGACCTTCCCTGTTAGGGCTTGAACTTATATGAGAGAATGAGAGAGATTTTAGCAGCGACAGATATGGTTTCAAGCTCCAAGGTTCAGCTTTAATGGCGTCTAGGGTTGTTGAGGTCTTTCGTGCTGTGTGTGTTTTGTGCGTGTAGTCCCTGTATAATGTTTGTATAACTGCATGTATGTAAAATTTCTCAGTTGTATAGAAAGCAAGAGAGTCGAGTGAGACAGAGAGCAAGAAAATGCTTTGGATCGCAGGAGGGGAAATGAAATAAATAAAAATGGAAATTCATGATCTCGTATTTTGTTAATTAAGAAACAAAGACAAAGAAAAAAAAACGTTGGTCGTAATATATATATTTAAGAGTTATGAAAATTAAGTTATTATTTTCTAAGTTAATTGTTTTGTAACATGTAATTTAAAAAAAAAAAAAATTAAGAATTTAGTTTTTAAAATTTTCATACTATTTGGATGTTGAGAAATTAAAAGCCGGTGCACAAAACCATTTTGCTGTGACCTTTGGCGAGTGAGTGCTAAAAAATTTCCCAAATTTATCTTCATGTTGTTCAGTACGGGTACACCAAAAAAAAAAATGTTAGGAAACTAATCAAATCAAGTCGTTATTTTAATTCAGTTCTTTTGGAGTCAAGTTTCGCTTTGAGGAAATTTAGGACCGAATCAAACCGTAAACTATATATATATATATATATATATTAGATCATTTGTTTCACGTTTGAGCTATTTTATTTTTGCATTTATGTAATTTGTTATCCGATAACTTTTGAATTTCATATTTATTTTAGAAAAATAGAATAATAACCCATGTTTTTAGATTACAAATAGCACATTTTATTTCTCGGTTGGGAGCTTTATTAGTTCTTGTGCAAATTATAAACTTGTATTTGCTTTGGTATCGGTATGATTGATGTTGAGTTTGTTCTCACAATATATATATAAAGTAAACCGATTGTTCCAACAACAATTTCAAAAGATATCCATAATTCAAAACTAAGCCGAATCAAATCAATCTTTCACGATTCTTTATAAACTGTTTTAGTTTCAATTTTCAAGAAACTATTGATTTATTTCCGATTTAGCACGTCCTAAAAAGTAAATCAATTATTCTAATAATAATTTCAAAAGATACCCGTGATTCAAAACTAAACCGAATCAAATCAGCCTTTCACGATTCGACTTCATCTCTAACTGTTTTAGTTCTAATTTCCAAAAAACTACTGTTTTATTTCAAATTTAAGCATGGAACCATATCGTGTGCACCCCCAACTACCCGGGTAGACCAATGAAAGCAATCAGATTGATTGCAATGGTGACAGTTCAGACAACAATTGCATAGAGCAGAAGGAGCTTTGATTTTACCATTATCATGACTGAAACTTTCTCATTCCAATATTTTTTTTTTTGTCTCCCCTATTTCCCAAACCATTATCTCTGTAAATCAAATATCTCACTACATACTATTTAAGTGTAATTTTGAAGTTAAACAAAGAGCCAAAATATGGACTGAATATCAAATAACTCGATACATTCTTCTTCCTTTTTTTCCAGAAAACATATTGTTGTACTGATCAGTCTTCTAGCTCTTACTAGCTCCAGTAGTTGCACGATTGGCCACGTAATTCTTCAAAGAAGGAGAATGGTTGAGACCATACGGAGCCACTGTAGTATTCAGATTCCCACTCTTCTGCTGCATTATTCTCCTGGCCATGTAACCTCTGATCCAAGGAGTCACATCCTCATTGACCTTGATCATTAAGAAGAAGAAGATGCGATAGATGATAATCATGGCGAAGAGAACACTAAGATCCACCCATTTTGATCGGTTCACGTCAATCTGGAACACATATTCCAATATGTATTCACCAGGAATTTTGGGCTGATCAGGTGTCTGGTTGTCGAAAATCAGGCCTTTTAGATCATTTTGGTATTGCCCCTGTTGTAAATTTAAGTTGAAGCAAGCATTGAAGCACTTGGACGGCACATTTCATTCATAAAGTACTATAGTTTGCTAAATATATGTTGAATTAAACATTGAAGCTCTTTGATAGCACATTTCATTCATAAAATATTAGCATATGCTAAATATATTTACCTGTAGAGCCCAGAAGTGGAAACTGATATAAGACATTGGGTAACGCCAGAATGGCTTGGGGATGTCATTTGGGAGTCTGAAGTACCCAGAGACTAGCATAAATATTCCCTAAATAAAATTAAAAAACAAAAAACAAAAAAGACATGAATATCTGTATAAATGGACTAATGTATGAACTAATAAGCACTATATTATATGGTAATACACAAACCTGAATTCCAGCCCCTATAATGATACCCATGAGGAAATTAGGGACAATACTAGCAATGGCCATCATCAAGCTCTCAACGACGGTGACACTGGCATAGAGGCACAACACGAAGAATACATAATGTTCGAAGCCAGGGTGGAGGTGGACCATGAAATAGCAGATAGTTCCGGAGAGAAAGGTGATCAGAATCAGAAATGGCATCGCGGATAATGTGTTGCTGATGACAAATGAAGTCACACCGTAGTGGCCATTCAGCCTCTCTCTTTGAAAAACCTGCAGGAATGAAATGGCCATTTGTTGTTTTGTAAATGAATCACAGCTTTAGTTGCATGTTTAGACTGTGAAAATCACCTTCATATCTTCCACAAAGGAAGGAAATCCACCAATTGACATGAACGTGACAAAGCCGAATACAAAAGAGGCACAAGCACCCCTAGCCTGTCTCAGAGCAAACAAAAAACCAACATCACTACACCTATGAATGAATTTAGTTTCCTTAGTTAAAAATATTTTCTCATTCTAATATATAATTTGGTTGCAACTCAATCGTACACATATGTGGGATAATGCAAATAAATGTCCATGTTTAAGGTTAAATTTCTTCCTCTTTGGTTCCATGATTACCGGTATCAATTGACAAGTTCTCTGGTTAAACAGGCTCAAATGCCCTGTTCAAATTTTCTTTTTTATTAAGAATATCTATTATGTATTAAGTTTGTGATTATAACTATTCCTATTATTATTTTTTAATGTATTTCCCCTATATTAAAGTATATTCAACAAATTGAAATCCAAATTGGAGAAGCATTCAGAATTAATGTCCTTGGAGGGAAATGAAAGTACATACCAGAATGGAAGTGTAACCTGTCCCAACATCCAAATATATGGTTCCGATGCAGATAGTAACCACAATGTAAATCACAAGCCTGAGCCAGTAATATCCGAAGTCCCTTGACATGTTGATGAACGAACGTTTGGTTAGGGTAAATGACTGCATGAAGAAACTTGCTTGACTCCCTCCAGATTCTAGCACGGTTCCTTTCTGCAACACACAATCAATTGAGATTTCATCACCAACATACAGAATGGTGATTTTAGAATATATATTGGCTAATTAAACCTATAGAAGGTTATATATCAGATGTTAAATTAATTAAGGAAGCATACATTGAACAATACTACTTACAAATTTGGATATTTCATCGACTCTTTCTCTTGCTGAGTAATAGTACTGTGAAGACTGATAGAAGTCAACAAGAGTTCGGATAGCTTCAACTGTAGTGATTTTCTCCACAGGATCATCACTTGTCTCAAACTGGTCAGAAACAAAATTCCGAGCACTAATTAGCCAGGACAGGCCAAAAATTAATTTTGTGACAAATTATTCCCTATTGAACCACAAATCATAGGTATTCAATACGAACAATAAGGACATATAGTTAACATGGCCTAAATAAAAGTAACAATAACATTGGTAACAAAAAAGGTTGAATAAGAATTGGATACCCTTAGTTTCATGGAACCTTTCAGAGTGGCCTTAACTTTGTCAAAGTCTGAATTGATGCACCTGAGAAAATGATCCGAGGGGTTTCTCAACGCGGGGCATGGGAATCCGGCTTGTGCGAAGAACTACACAAATATAACAACCAACATATATATAATCTTCATTGCTTGAAAACAAATGTAATTCATTTTAAATTTGTGTTAGGGGTTTTTTTTTTTATTCTTGCCTCATATGCTTCAGAAGCCTGGCCAAAGTATATAGTCTTGCCTCCCGAAAGCAAGTACAGCCGATCAAATAGCTCGAAAACTTCACTGCTGGGCTGATGAATGGAGGCTATCACAGTCCTTCCATCTCTAGACAAACCCCTCAATGTTTGTGTAACAAAGAAGGCCGAAGCACTGCCATAAACCGAATTATATGTACTAATTAAGTGTTCAATACAACAATTGGTCTTATCCTAAAGAACAAAACAAATTAATTATCTATTCTGTTCTGTTCTGTTTTGTTATCCAGTATCCCAAGAACAATATATTATAAGACAAAGACAACATGAGACAAATATAAATATAAATATATATATATATATATAAATGGAAATGAATGAAGATAAATTTATCCCAGAGCACCTATCAAGTCCACTGGTAGGCTCATCCAAGAAGAGCAATCTTGGCCTCATCAGGATTTCAAGGCCAATGCTGACCCTCCTTTTTTCTCCACCACTAATACCACGTAGATGCCAATTCCCAATGACGGTATCAGCACAATCTTGAAGGCCCATCTCTACTATGGTACTCTCAACCAATGCAAGCTTATCTGCCCTAGGCATCATATCAGGAAGACGCAGTTGAGCCGAGTACGAGATCGTTTCTCGAACCGTTAGAGTACCAATCAAGTTATCATCTTGTGTCACATAGGCCTAAATTTGATCAAATACACAATTAAATTAAACTATGTTGCAGTAATTAACATGGTAAAAGGATATGCACCAAATATTATAATAATAATTTTTAGGCCTAATAGTCTAAGCGGGTAGTCTAGGCTATTTTTTTTAAGCTCATCGATTAAACTATTAGGTCTGAATAGCATTGTGCACGAAAAAAGTGAGATCTAACAAATATGAAGAGTAAATAAGGTGACTCACAGCAGTCCCAAAAGAGAGCTTGGTCTTGCGACCATTGAGGAGGATTGTGCCAGAGAGGAAAGCATTGGCAGCTAGCCGACTAGCGAGGGCATCAAGCAGAGTAGATTTGCCGGAACCGGAAGGTCCCATGAGGGCAGTGAGACTTCCCGGCTCGGCGTAACCGGTGAGACCTTCAAGAACATTCTGTGTTTCTCCACCGTTGAGAGTGACCATCACAGTCAGATCTTTCCAAGTGAGCCTTGCCGACACATCCCCAACCAACTCCACATTCGCCTTATCCTTCCACAAAGTCTCACTCAGAGGACTCAGCCCTCCTCCTACTATCAACCCATTCCCTTGCGGCTTGTTTGCCTCTATCTCCATCATTACCTCGTTCGCAGCTGTGTTCCTCATATAATATATATATATATATATACCTTACAACTATATGTATATATTATATATAACTATAATAAGAGCTATATTGCATGAGAAGGGTTAAAAATCATGAGGGTGAAATGGGATTCGAATGAGAGAAAAGAAGTGTGAGTTGGAGATGGAAGGTATCGTGAATTTGACTAGAATTCCAAATCCCATGCAAAAAGAGCCTAAAAAACTTTTTGGCGTGATTGTTGTGGACATGAATGTACTTTTCTTAATTTCTCTCTTTCTTCACGTCTTCTTTAACAGACTATCCACCAACACCACCACCACCATCTCTCAATCTCAATCTCATCAATATTGTTGATATTTTGTTAGGAGGAGAAAGTAGGATAAGAAGAGAGCATGTTCTATCACATTTTTGTGCTTTACTTTTCTTTTTCTATGGTGTAATTCCATTAAATGTGTACCGCTAGGTGTTGGTGAGGAGGCATTTAATACGGAGCGACCCGTTTTAAACTCGCACTGATAGCTACTTAAATTTGATTCAATGAATCATACGGCAGGGATTGAATGATGGGATGAAATGTGTGTCATTTTTTGATACACTACAAAGCTAATTTGGGTGGAGTTAGACTTGTGTCTGCTGATATATTTGACCCCATTGACAACAGCCACCGTCTATGGCGCTGGATGGTCCGATGCTTGAGTTGTAAGTAAGACTATAGACCAAACTTTGAAAGATGTTACTTTCAATCAACATGTAACCAACTAAATACTGCAACGGACCACGAGACGTGTCGCATGCAATCTAACAGGTGGAGGGTTTAAATTTTCTTAAGAGTATTGTCACAATTGATTGTCCGGATATATAAAAAAAAAATAATAAATAAATCTTATTTATTAGATTGGTGTTTATTTTGATAGTTTCCATGGATTTTAGATGTTTTTAGGATTTTCTTAATTTCTAGTAACTTTTTTCAGACTTGAGTTAAATAAGTTTGTTTTAAATGTTTTATAAGTTGATTTTAGGGTGCATTTGTCATTTTTTGTGATTCGTAGATGTTTCTTATCGGGTAAATTTTAATTTTTCATTCTTCTTTAAACGCACCTATCATTCTTATGACAATTGTTACAAATTTTTATTTAGAATAACACATTTTGAGTTGGGAAAGGTTTGACTAAAGCATATAACCTACCATATGTATTTAAATATAAAGTTTATTCATGTCAAAAGATTGAGCCTGTCCTATAATGAGCTGGACCAACTTATAGCTTTAATAAAAAATAAAATAAAATAAAAACGTTATATCTTTTTAATATATATATATATATACTGGTCCAAGTCTTCAGCCGAATAACATGCAAACAGGAAACAGCACACATACATATAGCATAATTCTTTTATTTTTCAAACCCTAATGAATAATAGGGTTTGATTGTACTCGCAAACAGTCTATGTAATTAGGCTATTCCTTCGTCTTCATCAGTAGCTGCCGCTATCACGGCCTACTAATCTATCAACCACTTTAATTAATACAAAAAAAAAAAATTAATAGCAGTAGTTAGTTATCTCAGGGTTGGGAACTTGCGATAGGCATTATGAGCACCGCCAAATGGGTACAACCATGGAATATTCAATATATTATTAAAATATTAGGGTTTTGAGCTAAAAAAACAAATCAACCGTCCAAATCAGAGGATTTACTAACTGATTGAGTTCCAACTAATCATGAATGGCCATTAAGAGCTATTGACTTTTATTGAATTCGGTTGGGTAAACTACTTCTTTCCGCTCTTTCTACTGGAATTGCTCCTTGTCGATCACAAATAAACCTAATATTCTCCCAAATATTTGGGAAAAAAAAAAAATTGATTCTTGAGAGTAGTATGTATAGTTTATTTTAAATTTGTCCGTGCATTTAATGGAATTTTTCTTATTAATATGATAACTAAAGTTTTTAATGAATTTTTTTTTTTCCTTGATGGGATACATGGAATAGCGGTTTCAACTAATCTTTATTACATGTTATCCGTCTCAATTAAACCTTATCAAATAGAAAAATGTTACCTAACACATTTTTTTAATTTGGGGGTGACGGAGAGTCGGAGATGCATGAGTAAGAGTGTAATGACATCTTCCTAATATCATGCATGATATTCATATCATATCCAAGCTGACAAATTTCCTATTGATATTCATATCATATCCAAGCTTACAAATTTCCTATTCGGCGGCCTCCGATTTCCAATGATGTATATTATATATCAAATATTTCGGGAGAGATAACAGTCGTATCAAGCTATCGCTGTAACACAATTCATATTGAAAAATGTGAAATGATATTGTAAAATCATATTGAAAAATGTGAAATGATATTGTAAAATTATTTACATAATTTGAACATATGATATATTTTATTAATTAAAGATTAAGTAAATAAATATCAAATTATAAAAAAAAAATGGGTACTTTTGCTGTCTTTATAAAAGTGTATATATCCCATCAATTATGTACGCTAATGAAAACAATAAGTATAATTTTTATGTATACAAAAGGCTAAGAAAGATAAATCAGCTTTCACGCTTTGCTTATTGTTCAGAGTTGCAGTTTAGTTTGTTATTGAAGTATCTCGACGTTGGACTTGATCTTTACGATATTTACAATCACAAATCGAGGTATTTTATATTTAACTATTTTATTTATGCATTACAGGAATGTGAGAATAATAAAGTTCTAAGATTTTTGGGATTCATGTTTATTTGTGATTAATGTTTAATACGAATTATTAAAGTTTACATGTGGTATCAGAGCTTATGGTTTAGGGGCTCATTATTTTCCACTAAAGATTGCATAAATAATATGTGTAAGTAAAAATTATAATTATATAATAAATTTATTTATTAGATCATGTACGGTTAGCGGATTACGATGAAATTGGATTTGGATTGTACTTTATTATAAATTTAAACAAGATGTATCTAGCATGTATTTATTTATTGATTTTCGTGAGCAATGCAATGGTAAACTAATAGACAAACAAAATATGTGTTAGTTTCTTGATTTTTGTACGTCACTAAATAACTTATTAAATTGGAGAGTTTTAATATAATTATGTTTGTTATTGTTCTAATGAAACTTATTATTATATTAATTGATGTCTAATGATTTCAAAGATTCTATTTTAATTATTTAAAAGTTAATAAATTATTAAATACATTAAGTATGTGTATTCGTTTATTTTATTATTTAAAATTTTATAATAAAATGTGAATCTATATATTTGATCTTATTGGACATACAAATAAATTATTGTTTTGTACTCATACATGCATACATGATGTAGAGTCAATTTTAGATTGATTCAATTGTGATTTCCGAGTCCGAAAATAAAATAATATATTTTATTATGTATATAAAGTAAAAGGATATTGTTATTAAATTTTCAGACTATTAAGTTCCTGAGATCGAACCTTCTTATACTTGGATCGATCGGTATGAGTATGTGTGTATAATATTAAATGGGTAACTTAATGACGAATTAATCACTGTCTAATTTAATATTCGTATTATGTGAAGATTGGTAACTATCAAAGTAACACAATCATAATGATTAATGAATATTAATTTTTGTAGTAGACATAATTAATTATAAATTAGTTACTAACTAATTTAATATTCATATTATATAAAGGTCGGTAGCTACCAAAGTGGCCCAACCATAATGGTTAATGAATATTAATTTTAATGGTAAACATAATTACAATATTTCATGAATTATGATGCTTATAATTTTTTGCGATATTCATGAATATTGGGTTTATTTGACAATGAGAAATAATTTCCTAAATGGAATTGATTTTCAAATGATTAAATAAAATTAAGGGGTTGTATGTATTTTTTAATTAGGCAAATATAGGATATCCAAATGTAACTTATTTGTTTAATTAAATAATGCTCACCAATAAATGTATACATATAAATACATGTAAGCATTATTATTAGTATTTTATAATTGTCACCCAAAGGGATACTATAGTGATACATTGTATTTATATTTTTAAATTATACATATGTGTTGTTAACTCAAAGTATTATTGTTGTGAGTATTTTATTTTATTCTGTTTGTTTTATTACATCCCTTAATTCGCATACTACATCTGTTCTGGTTCTCAACATGACTAACTTCTTATAGTAGAATGAGTGAGTTAAGTTCAAAATTTAGGTATACTAAATCAAGAAATCTGCTGTCATTACTGATAAAGACAGGAAGGAAGAAAATATTCTCCATAAAGCTTAGGAGAGATCGAACAGATTAAGTATTATGGTTATGCGAATAATTGTTCCCCATAGTAATAATGTTAAGAAATATTTGACTATAAGAATGTTTTCATATTGTAGATAAATATCTAAAACGAAAATAATTAATTGATACCACTATTATGCATTTTTGTTGGTACTCGTATCATGTATGAACATATTTTTTATGTGACTAATGTTGCTACAAAATTGAGAACTTTAGGGATGATTGTTGATGAGAATTTTCTCGTTCAATTTATTCTCAATTTCTTGTCTACTCAGTATGGGTCTTTTCGAATTAACACTGTTATGACAAGTGAAAAGTGAATGAATTGACCATTATGTTAATTTATGAGGAGACAAGGCTTAAGCAATAAAGTAATCATTATGTTCATCTCATGACTCAAGAAGTTATAAAGAAATTTGGGAAGAAGCTTGAAAGGGCATTAAGTGAGCAACACCCAAAAATAAAAGACTTTGATTAATATATTAAAAGAAATTAATGTAATAATGCAAAAGTGTCATTTATATGAAACATAAAGAATAATTCGAAAAGAAAGATAAGTCTTTTGACTTTTGTATATTTCGAATCACTTATTGATATTCCTTTTAATACATAATAAGTTGACTTAAGTACTGTTTATGTTTCTAATAGATATAAGGATTTCTTATGGCCTAAATCACAAATTCAAATGAGAATTTCTTATGGAAAAAGTTTTGTTGAAACCATTGAGACATTTTGTTTAATTTTAGACAATGAATTTTATTTAAATTGTTTTAAACTCTTTATATTTCTTCAATTTCCTATAATTTGATTTGATTTCAAAACTTTATGTTAATGATTTTTCCTTTAAATTTGATAATGATGATAATTCAAAAAATTCTAATTTGTGAGTTATGATATTATTGTTGATGATTTTTGTAAATTCAAACTTGATAGTTTATTTATTAAAACCCTTTTGACCTTGTATCATAATGTTATAATTAAGCGTAACCCAATTAATGAAAATTCATTTATCTTGTGGCATAAAAGACTGGGACAATATTCAGTGAAAAGTTAGGAAAATTAATAAATGATGTGATTCTTCTGAATCTAAACTTTACTATTTTTGATATGTGTGTGGATT